CACACACACACACACACACCATACATTTTAATCTTTAAATGCACTTTTAGTAAAGCTTAAATAATATCTAAATCAATCTGAAACATTGATCTGTCTTTAAAATATCCAACAATCTACCACATGTAAAACTACCATGTCCACATTACTTCAGAGACCACTTACTTGTCTGGATGTTTTACAACCCACCAGTTGTTGGGATCTTTAAAATTATAACAGGTGACCTGTTGCTGCTGGCTGCTGCCTCTCTTGCCCTCGTAATATTTAGGGTAGTTGAAGGCGTGGGAGTGAAGCCAGCATGGTTTACCGTATGAGTGGCGTATTGTGATCTGGGATCCATATGCAATGTGCTGAGGTTGGCCTCTCGTTATTGCTGCGAGCCCTCCCTGAAAAGACATTTAAGCAGGTATAATTTTTTTTAAAACAGGGAGTTTTATTGCTTGTACACAGCAAAAGTAGGAGTTACTTTATAAAATGTAACAGATCGTTATCAAACCAAATCAAAAACATACCTCTAGACTTGCTTGAAACTTGCTGGACATATTCCCGTCATACACTCCAGACTTAGTCAGCAAGGCAAAATGTATGTAGAATAATCCCACATAGAACAACACAGGCAAAACAACCACCATGACCAGTCTGGAGAGGAAGTGCAACCACATGGTGAACTAGAAAATAAAACATTACACACATGCCTCATAATTGTATATTTATTATTATATTATGATGATGCTGATTATGTAAGTGGGCCTTTTAGAAAATCTGGAAAATGCAAGCACCAAAGGTGCATAGCTCTATATGGGGGATCGGGGGGGGGGGGGGTTATATGCAACACACAAATATCTGGTTTTTCTGGATAAATCTGGAAGACTTTCATCTGTGATTATATGTCAAACATAGAGCCAAGTACTTAATTGTACCACTTGTGCTCAACAAACATATTGTTCCAAATAGAAAATCCCCAACCATAGCAAAAATATATGCCATACAAAAACAAAAACACATTTCACAAATCAAGAACTTTATCTTGAAAACGATGAAATCCATATTCTCATCAATCAACAAACTTTGTCATGAACAAAACACAATCCTTTGCCAAATGTGAAAATTTTTCATAAAGCATGTAATAAAACAGAAGCTTGGAAATGGGTCTAGCAATATAATATAATTTATACATACATACATTTTACGGTAATCAACTTACATCAGGGATTGTTTTGTCATCCAACAATTCCCAGAAGTCCCTGACCACCAAGACCAGGATGAGAAGACCAGTGAAGAAACCACCATACTTGATCCTGTAACAGATGAATTCATCCATGAGATCAATGATCAATATTCAAATTATTACAGATAAGTTAACTTTGATTTAAATGTTAAATTTGATCTCTTGGGTTAGATACTACAGCTACTGTCCTTCAATAAATAATTTCAAAACTAGACAATTATGTGCAGTGGCAAGAAGATAATAAATAAATAAATAATAAGTCATTTCCATGCTATTAAATATTACTTACTACAGCCTTAAAATAATATTTCATAAGTAATTTACAGTAATTACTGGAAAAATGTATCTAAGAGCAATTAAATGGCTGAAATACTGTTTCTTCAAAGCTACACTAAGTATATATTACGCCAAAAAAAAGTAATACACTTACGATAACGAACATCCCCAAGACAAGCCCATCACAGCCAGACAAGTAAACCAGGCTGGAGAAAAAGGTCTGAAAATATCAGTTAAAATATTAGTGAGTAATATATAGAGATTTAATTCCTCCAAAATGTTTATCTTTTTTTTTACATTTAAATATAAAACTAAACCTGACAAATAAATTTGTTTTATATCTTGTATCCACAGTCGTCATCATGTGCAGGCATGGATAAATTATCTGAATTTCTTTAAAAATCAAAATAATAATGAATAGATAAAACTAATATTCAAAATTTGTCCATAAGAATTCTGTGTGGCAGAAATTCACATTATAATATCTATATCAACATTACCTGTTCTTGAGTTTTCTGAACTTAAGGTATCCAATAAGAGACAGAAGATTAAACATTTGCATCATGCTCTCCATCAGCATAAAGCGAGACTGGGTATGCAGGGAGTTATCTGTCAAAAAAAAAAAAAACTAAATCACTGCCTCATATTCAACATACAAAGAAAACAACAATTTCATTATCATTTTCATATATAATAGTAAAATATTCCATTTTTTAAAAAAATAAAACTAAAAGTGAGTCAATACTTAGAGCAGTATGGACTAATAATTGAACAAGAATTTCTCTGCAGTTAAAAACAGCACAGATTAAACAATAAAGAAAATCATGTGTAAGATGCCAAGCCCATCTTTCTAAAAAAAAACCTATAAAGCTAAGAGGCTAAGGGCTTCCAGGTATTAACATACTAACCACATATAATAATAAAGGAAGCCAAGACAGCAGTCCCCTGTCTGAGCCCCATCTCTATAAAAACTTGATATGCTAAGGGCACCACAAGGCTGCCACAGATGGCTGGAATCAACCTCATCTGCCAAACTGGAACATTGGCATCGTATTCTGGAAAAAATTATATCAATGTTACAACCTTTCATGCAAACTACAGGGCATAATTAATTTATTCCAGAACAAAAGCTAAATATGTCAAAACGAATCACAAAATATTCATGATTTAGATACATTTTCCCAGTTAAAAGAAATACCTTTTCCAATATTTTCATACACAAAGTCCCCTGTGTATCCGCAAAGATAACCTGAAATATAGAAAACAAAACTTAAAACTTATAAACACCTAACAGAGGTGAGAAAACCATTTCTTTAAATTTTCTCAACTCAATTTCTACACAGTGTCTAAGTTGCAACAGTGACCGCAGAAAGAAAGTCACAAAAACTAATCTTAAAACAAAGTATCCAATAATTATTTACATAAAAACTGCAACTTACCAACAAGTGCAAACAACATCTTCCCGAGTGGAGGATTGAGATCATAAAAGAAAGTGTTCTTGATATAGAAACCAGCATACTTGCCAAAGAAAAGCTCATCAAACCTGTAATAAAAGAGATGCATTTCTAATAACCTTAAACACAAATGATATGAAACACTTATGACTTTAGAATAAAAAGATATTTCTTGAATTTTAACTGTTTTTAACTGTTTGGTCAATTACATCATAGAAGTTTTCTCTACTTCTATGATTACATGTAATTTCTCATTTAACATAAATGTAAATCTCATTTTTTTTAGAATCTGAGTACTAATATTTATTTCAATTACCAATTTGTAATTCTTATACTTAGACATGGTTTTTGGTTGTATGGAAGGAATTGCTCAGTGATCTTATGACCACAGGGGATGCTAAAGGCAAAAAAGTAGTACGAAAAAATTTGTAAATCTGCTTTAAATTTAGGACAAAAAACATATCTGTGCACTTATGGCATGTGACCTAGAAAAATCTACCAACATTGAGATAGCATGATATAATGAAATGTGTTAAAATAGGAATAACAAAACAGAGAAAGAGAATCAGATCTAAATGAAAGATTAAAATGCACAGTCAAAAAACACACATGCACACATTTCCACACTTGGGAATTATTTTGTCGCCATGGTTACTCTGATGATATGGTTGCATGGTAACAATCCAAAACACTTCATATCACCATGATTACCAGTTCAACACAGCATTATAAGCAGCATTATTGTTATTTTGACCAATAAGCAAAAAGAAGCAATCTTCCATGCCTGTAGGCTATCATGCTGTCAGAATGGGGAGAGGGTATCAACATCAAAACATTGAATTTCAGCTATGATATAGATGTTCCATGTATATAAGTTTACTAATGACTTTTTTTGCATTAAAAAAAAACATAAATTACATCATTTTGCTCTTCTGAATTCATGACAGAAAGTGAAAGATCTCTTGTGCTCAAACCACATCAATTTGCTCTTTTGAATTCTTCACAGAAAGTGAAAGATCTCTAGTGTTCAAACCACGTTGACAAAATAAAAGTAGATACCAGTGACACTGTATTCCAAACAGTACACATTGCCAATAAGTTGTCAATAGATTCACTTTCACTACTGAAAACCTTTACAGGCAATTTTGTACGAAAGTTTACAGAAGCCACTGGTTTATCCACCCCAAAGCAACAGACACACACATACTCACACAATCTCATTAGGTTTTTCTATTTCTCTTTCTCTGAGAACCAGAGTTATTGCAAAGAGAGTTGTCTGTACACAGCCATGGGCCAGAACTGTTTTGGAATGTGTGCTCTAAAAGTAACATAAGCACAGCACCATGAATCAGGGAAATTATTAATATGATTGATAAAAAAAAGGCTCACACTAGCATAAAACAGATTTGCCAAATACTGTAGACAATATAATTTAGCTGAATGAAAAAACAAATATTTGATGCTTTTATTTTTCAAAATTATTGTTTGGTGGATTGGACAAACCCACCAAAACAGATTTTTTCTGACTTCAATTCAGATATCAAAGCATCCACTCTTTAAAGGTGGCAAACCTTTTTTTTCAATGAAAACAATCTAAGACTCTTTTAGAAACCTCAGAGCCAGAAACTGTCCACATCATTTTTTAATATTGTCATATTGTCTATATCAAATTGGCTTCAATTGAGAATATGCATGTGTAAACCTAGATGAAATTAAAGGACATCTTACACAATGGCTCTAGGTTGGTGTATTTCTGAGACCCTCAACACAAAGGCCACTGCAAATAATACGACTTGAACAAGGTCAAATTCTGCAGTAACTGAGAAAGCCAGAAAACGGCTCTTTACTGACGTCGATTCCTGTGTGAAAATGATGAAATAATTATACATTAACAATTCAGCATTGCCAGTTTGAGTTATGCTCCATAATATTGGTTCAGGTTCTAGATAATTACCATTAAAATGTTATTCTCTCTGCCCAATTTTACAACTTGAATATATGTTTTTTTTTCAAAATGCACAATTTGAAAAGAAATATTTTTCTATCAGCTGTAAATGTACTACAAGATAAGCTCATAAAAATTTGTAATGTCTTTTACATGAAATTTGTAATGTCTTTTACTTGAAATTTGTAATGTCTTTTACATAAAATAGTGGAATGCAAAGACCAACCTGAAGTCCCTTTTCTTTCTGACACTTGGAATCTTCAGAAGATAGTTTTTCTGTCTTCTTCTCCATGGTTCTATCACAGTTTACTCATCTAATCTGATAAAAAAATAGTAAGAACTACTAATTGTTAATTTATAAAGAACATTATGATTTTAAATACACACTGCAACCATTAAATGTAAGAGTTCCCTCTCACTTCTTATATTTCAATGCTTTAAGAATGGGGGGAAAGTGTTAAAGTAGTAATATACTTGGAAATTTCTTGTGTGGCATTATTCTAATTTTTCATTCAATGTTTGGTTTTTAAAAATAATTTGAATGGCAGCATTGGTCCCCAGGGAAAGGTACATAGACCCAATCGGAGGTGCAAAATTCTGCAACCAAAATTCTTTGCCTCGTCACTTCACAATCTCAGTAAAATGATTGGCATCAATACGATAGTGGGGTATGGGCTTTCAAAATCTGGGGTCACTCGTATGCTTTCTTTGTCTCACTTCTCTTGTACAAATTACCTGGGCGTAGACATTTGGTTTTGAGGATCATTAGAGCGTGAGAATGCATTGGGAAGGTGTTAGCGAGTCTCGAGTCGACGAAAGTCAGGAGAACACTGGAAATAGAGCCCACATCTGAATGTGCTAAAACATATTTCGTGAGCACCATAGCAAGAATATTACCTTAATTTACCTTTCAGGATAGCTGGTTGCAATATTTGATCGATCTCTGCAGTTTTGGTAATAAAACGTCAATTTTGTATTGTGGTGTCACCAACCTTGACCGCCATTTTTCAACAAAGACCTCTTCAATACTAGAAGACCAATTTCGTAAGCACTTACAGGACTTAAGCGTTCATTATATCTTAAAATTATATTTAAAAATTAAATATATGTGCGTAATGTAGCCCTTATTTATATTATATTTGTGTAAATTATGTTTTGTTTTTGTTTTTATGTGAGTTTTGCACCCATTTAAGGAATTTATTTGGAAACTACATATGGCTTTTTATCAGCCATATAAGACCTGTGAATTTCTAGCCACAGGTGAGAGAAGAAGTGTTTACCTTCGCATGTCACTAGCAGTAATAGCCATTTCCACAAATGTGGCCGATGAAATGTGCAATAACGAGGAAGATAAACCACAGATTATCAAGGATGAAATATAGGTAACAACTTAGAGGCCCACGTTTCAAATGTGGATAGATTTTTTACTTAGTATTTAACGTTATATATGCAGCAAACTTGAAAGCACAAATTAATTTGTAATTCGATCATAGCCAAAGGGAAATCATAGTGCGAAAACAAAATCGACGAGACTGTGAAATTGCAAACTGATTTTACTTTCCAATATCCTCAATGTGCTGTTGGAAAAATACCTGAAGTTTTTGTCTGTGCACAATGTCACATCGTACTAGATATATGAGAGTAATAATGAACATAATAATAGAATAATATAAGATATGATATAATAGTAATAATGGTAATAGTAAGGTACATGGTATTCTATGAGAAAGTAGAAAATTAAGCAGGACATGCAGGAATAATTTGACCATCTTTTTTGTGGTTAAAACCTTCGAAGTTCTGAAACACCATCATGCATTAAGTGATCTCATTAAATGCAGCTAAATTATATTTAGTTGGGATCAATTTTCATTAATATCTCGCTTGCAGAGATAAGCAACTTAATGCTACATATCCAAGCATCAATTGCTAGTCTGAATGATCTAGCAACCAATAAGTAATAAACTGGCATTGATTCAATGACAATTAAGTGGTGTACTCAGTAGTTAAATTTTTATAGAATTCTCCCCCTCCTGTCTAACATATTTTCTCTTTCATAACTATTCCTGTCATAAGTAAAAATAGTTAGAAAGTAAGCAATTACATGCAATATCTAAATGTCTTCAATTTATATGTAAAGTGGAAGAAAACGCAGTGGCAACAATTGATTTGTTGAAATTAGGCTGTCACAAGTGACTGGAAAAATATTACATTGTGAAATGGTCAGATTTAGTATAAAACCAGATAACCCAGATAATACAGATTGTATTGTGTGTGTAGATGCATCAAGTTGGTAACACTGGCTCTTCCTGGTTGTGACACTATTACACTGATCAAGCACATATACCAGTATATATAATTTAAATTAATATATATTTCAACTGATCTTTTGCAGGTTGGTTTGAACTGTACCTGAACTGACAGGTGGAATGTAAGCTGACAATGATGAAATGATAAAGGACCTAGAAAGATAATTTGATTATCTGAGCAGCAAGAAGCTGTCACACGCAGGGATTATAGACCTTCAGACCTGAAGTCTCAATGGATAATCCTTCGGATGCATCTTCATCCAAGTTGGCATCCAAGAAGGTTCTTTTCTAATGGAATTGTGGATTTAGTTCCTCTGAAGAATTTGGTATCGAAATGGGCTTGTTTGTAACAGCAGTTGCCGTGTTACTATGATGCAATAATATATCATACATATTGTGTGTATGCAATATTTACCCCTTGCAGTTGATTTAAACTGAGTGTAACCAAGTGTGACTTCATTTGTCACATAATCAATTACACTGCTCCAAAAGCAGGGAACAGATTAGGCCAGATAACATGAAATATAAGATAAATGGTGTTATGTGAAACAGAAAGTGGTCCACTGTTTGTTGTCACTGTGTGACACAGTGTTGTGATATGCTAATATGATGTTATGAATAATTGCATATGAAATTATGAGCACAATATATGATGTTTGTCATATCAATCTTCAGGTCCTGACGCTAACATTTCATAATTTTTTAAACTTGAAAGTGGACTCACAAGGAAAGCTGCGCACAAGAATTCTTTATTTAAGGATATGGCATTGGAAAATAAGTTTTCATCTTTTTGTAAAGAATTAACTCTACCTCTTTGAAAAGACAACGTGTCAGTTTTTTTTTTTTTTTCAAAGATGTAAAGTGTATAATTTTGCATCTGTTAATTATCTCATACATTCCATTAGTTATGATGCTCATTAATATATTAAATAATATTATTTTACAGGTTTGCAGGTTCAGAATTTATCTTTATCAGGTTGGCAGGTTCAGAATCTGAAATGAGATATTCAGAACTGTGATATAAAAGTTTTAATTTTAATTAATTATATACATAATACTTTTACGTTATACCATTTAATTTTATGAATTATAAATATTAACATCATAATTTCAGCATACATAAATCATATAAATTAACCATCGTATCGAAGCTGAGTTTAGTCATTTTAGATATTTAAATTGGTGTAGTTATATAGAAATAACTACATTGGTGAAAGCTTTTCAGGATTATGACTGATTTCAGGATTTTAAGTCTTCATTTTGATTGTTTTTTCATATGGTCTGAATGCAATGAGAAATTGCATTACTATAAAGCTTAGCCAAAATTGTGGTTTTGAGCAGAGTCAATAGGGATGAATGTGTAAGACAATCAGAAATATGTATTTGACTAGTGAAACTTTTTATTTTTACTGATATAATTAAAATATAAGATTTTCATTCCAAAAGTGTATTAACACTTTAAGTGTATGTAGAGAAAATTCAAAATGGAGACAGCAGCACAGGAAACTCAAGTTGAAGCAGAAAAAGAGTCCAAATGTGGGTGTGGTTATTGGCACCCTGCATGTCTGCAGAAATTCTCACATCCACCGGCTTTTCTACTATGCATTAGTGCTGCTGCTCTCGCACAATCCATTCTAGTCTCAGGGTACACGAGCAGTATTCTAACCACTATAGAAAAGCGCTACAGTCTACAAAGCACAGAACTTGGAGTGATATTCAGCAGCTATGAATTCACCTGTGTTTTTTTCACTGTGATAGTCAGTTATTTTGGAGGGCGGTCAAAGCACAACCGAGCAGCATGGATAGGGAAAGGCATGGTGTTGCTAGCCTTGGGATCATTCCTGTTTGCATTGCCTCATTTCATTGGTGGGCAATATCAAGTGACCTTGAACCAGAATGCCTCGTTAGACAATACAGAGAACCTTTGCAATGATGACCCTGCCACAACAGATATGTCAAGTGCCTGTCGTTCTAGTGTGCAATCAGAGAAATGGGCTTTTGCAATATTTCTTATCGCTCAGATGTTGATTGGTGTTGGTGCCTCGCCTGTGTACACGCTAGGGCCAACCTACATGTACGACAATGTCAGGCGCAATCTCTACCCCATTTTTGCAGGTAAATGTACTAGATTATTGCATTTAATTCTTGTGTATGTAGTGCTTATGTGTGTGTGTGCATGTGTTTGTGTGTGTGTGTTTTGGTGCATGTTTTATAGAATAATTTGAAAAGCGTCCTCAATTTATAGGTGAATTATGAAGTTAAAAGTTGCATTTTCTAAATGACAGATTTTTTTACTTTTTTGTGCCTTATGTAAAAAAGAAAAAACTATATGACAACCAACTCCTCCCTTGACTCTAACAGATGTTTTTGTTTTTCAATATAAAAAAGGCAGTCTGTAATATTAACACTGGTCCCTCAGCAAATGCCACTGAAACTGAATTGGCTCAACACACCAGTGCATGGTCTATTTTCTACGTTTGACCATTAAACCCTGATGGCCCAAAGGGTCAGTGGGTTTTTAAAATTTTGCCACAAAATGAAAAGATGTTTTGATATTTTTTCCAGGCATCATGTACGCCATGGCAGCCTTTGGTCCAGCCCTTGGATTTCTGATAGGTGCCGCCTTCATCACACTGTATGTGGACCCTGCCAACCCCCCACCGACCCTCACGGAGGACAGTAAGGACTGGATAGGAGCATGGTGGCTGGGATTTCTACTATGTAGCTTTATGGGGTTATTAGTGAGTGTTCCCCTTTTGATGTTTCCCAAGAAGTTGGACATAAAAGAGGAGAATATCGAGGTGGAAGAGGAGCCCGCCATGATGGGGTTTGGACAGAGTGTCAAAGGTAGGTTTTGTTACCATATGTGTATGGTAATTATTCTGAAAATTTGATCAAGATTGACTTGTTTTATTGTTGTGACAGCAATATCATGTGTAATGGTGATATAATGTGCCTGTGACAACAGTGACACCTAGCAAAAAGACTGAAAGCTTCACTAACCTTATAATGGAATTTTAATTTTATATTAAAATATACCATGAGAGGATGTAAGTTCAAACTTGCATGAATGATACCAAATGTAATCCTGTATAGAACACTTGTGACAACTCAATATGTCCGATAGGCCAGATATGTCCTATGACCAGAGAACAGGCCAGATATGTCCTACAAAAAAGAGCCAGATGTGTCCGTCAGGCCAGATATGTCCGACAAAAAAGAGCCAGTTGTGTCAGACATATCTGGCTTGTCGGACACATCTGGCTCTTTTCTGTCAGACATATCTGGCCTTCTCTGGTCATAGGACATATCTGGCCTGTCGGACATATCAGGTCGTCACAACACTTTGCATGATACTAACTTGATCTTAGTTTGTTTCCAGCAGCTCTTTGTCTAGCTAGGTTAAATGTCTTGTTAACAATTCATAAAATGAAAAATAAATATGAATAAAAATAAACTGTATAATTAATTTTATGCCATTTCTCAATCAGACATCCCCAGGGAACTGAAGAAGCTGTTTACAAATACAACCTGGCTTTGTGTGAGTCTTGCCATAGTGATGGAGCAGTCTGTCATCCAGGGATTCATAGTCTTCATTGCTAAGTATCTGCAAACAATGTACGACATTCCAGCATCAAGAGCAAATATTGTCACAGGTACTTCTGTCACCAAGAAAAAGTTTCATTATTTAATTATTATTATTATGTATTTACCATGGTTTTCATAGCACAATATATCCAAATTAGTTTTTATATCCAAACTTTTGGTGCAAAAATTGTCATATATTTCTTGAATAACAGTGTGACATCAAAAAAACCAAGTCAGTGTTGTTGCCTGAAATGTTCACTTTTGAATTCCAAAAATGTTTTGACTTTGTAAAATTTATCTTGACTGAATAAAATTCATTTCTTTGTCTGGTTACTCAATTTGCAAGAAGGAAAGATAATGGAACTTTTATATTAGCATTTTTATTAATTTTAATTAAAATTAATTAATTTGTTTGTTTCTTCAGGTGCTGTAGTTATACCCAGTGCAGTGGTGGGTATCATCACAGGAGGTGTGGTAGTCAAAAAGTTCAAGCTCACACTGGAAGGTATAGGCCGACTTCTGGTGTGTATAGCCTTCCTGGCCTTCCTGGTGACACTGCCAATATTCTTCCTGGGCTGTGAGAGTGGAAAACTGGCAGGGGTTACCACTCCTTACAGGTGGGCTTCATGATTTAATAATGATAATAATAATAATAATAATAATAATAAGTATTAATAACGTTTACCCAGCCAGCTTGGTCAAAGAATTTTGTAAACCAATTATTTTGTTGATGTCATCTTCCTTATTCTTAGTACTTGTCAAATGGCTCTGATATGTGTTGACTTATAAATAGCAACTCAGCATCTGTAGTAACCATAACAAATCCACTGTTCATTTGTTCTGACAAAGTTTTAAAAATCAGTGCAAAATAAAAAGAAGATTTCAAATTTGATATGCTGCTAGGTTGGACGATGTGTTGTCAACAGTCAACTTATCATCAGAGTGTAATGTCAACTGTCACTGTAGTGTCCAACACTATGCTCCAGTCTGTGACAGCCATGCTGGAATGGCATACCTTAGTGCCTGTCACGCAGGATGTCATGTTGTCGATGTGACACACGTAGATGGAATGAAGGAAAGTGTCAAGGTATGAGACATGGGTCGAATTTTTCAGTTGTTTGAACTAACCAGGGTTTAATATCATTGAATGAATTTTAACAGGAATGTTTATTTCTTTAAATTTTGAATTTATCTGCCTCTAAAGGAAATTTCACGTGTGTTTTAAGTTCTCTGCTGAAAATGACTGGTTGCACTTTACTACTTCCAAACAAAGCAAATTAAGGTGGTACATACTTGAATGGCATTCACCTCTCTGAACATCTAGGTTGGATTAGTTGCTAATGTGCACGACTTAAAATTTGGCACATATTTTTTGAAACTTTGTTACAATTTAAATTTTTTTTTATACGTGCACTATCTCAATTATACAATAGCAGTATATGTGGACCATCTGGAAAGTTCGCTTCTTTTTTAGTCAGGTAAAAAAAAGGTACATGCCTTTTAGAGTAATTTAACATCTTCCTTCCTTTCTTTGCAGAATTATTCCAGTTGTGCCTGTCTTGGGTTGTCTAGTCCTCCGTCTGATGGTTGGTCAGTAGTTGAAGGCAAGTGCAGCAGAGAATGCAATACTTTCATCCCATTTGTCCTGCTGTTGTTTCTGGTAGTTTTCCTCATCTGCTGCGCTCAGAATCCAGCACTTATTATAACTCTCAAGTAAGTATAAATATGCCTCAAATAAGTATGAATTTATTTGTACCTGTCCATTCATATTCAAGAAATTGAGAAGAGTTTTATAATTGAATTGGCAAATGTTCGTGAGGATTGTTTAAAGAAACACCTATTTTAAATGTTCTTTAGTTTGCTATTGTTGGGTGGCTTTTTATATTGATAGAATATATGAATGGAGACATCATTTTATTCAATTTATTTTAATTTATTTATTATTTTATTATTATTTTTTACAGGAAAAGTTGTTATTAATGCTCATCCATATTAAATACTGGTACATGAAATTGATAATTTCAGGAGCGTGAGCAGTAGCAGCGAGAGGTCCTTTGCCCTGGGAATGCAATACTTCCTCTTGCGTGCTGTGGCCTTCATCCCAGCACCAATCTATTTTGGCTATCTATTCGATACCCAGTGTATACTTTGGCAGCCATCTTGTGAGAATGGCAAACAAGGTGCATGCTGGGAGTACAGCATTGAGAATTTGCCTTATACCATGTTTGGAATGGCGTGCGGACTTCGTATCCTTGGATTCATCTTCATATTATTGACTTACTTATCAATAAAAAGAGATGGACGAAGAAAAGGATGTATGCAGCTCGCTAATGGTGGAAAAGATTTAGATCCAAATAAAATGGTGCACAGTGTCAGCACTGTTAGTTGCGATACCATGACCTCTAGTGTGAGCTCAGACAATGGTGTCAAGCCAGTTCGTCTGGAGACTTACATTTGATTCATATCAAAATGATGATAGAATCAGTCTTATACTGGTAGCTCTATATCAGTTTTGTGGGCCTTGAGTTTCAGAACCATAATATCCTACCAGTGTTTCATGTAAGTGTGTTTGCAGGGCTGAAGAGGGGAGTTTTTAATAACCTCTTAAAACTTCTAGTGATTATACCAGTATGTTAAATGTTAGCCTAATAATTATTGGGTACCCCCCCCCCCCCCCCCAAAAAAAAAATGTGATAGCCACAATTAAATGTTTTGCCTGCCTTACCTGAAAACTTACATAAGAATATGCTTATATATTTATCAATTCTATTTTGTAGTGTTTGTTATAATTTTATTTTCATTGTTTAAAGTTACCAGAGTTTGGGAGAGTTTTTAAGCCCGACTCTTAATACCTCCGAGTTACTGATTCACTTTTAATGATAAGAATTAATATAGTACTTTGTTGTTAAAAAGTTCTTCCCCAGAGTTGAAAAGCAAGAACACACAACTAAATATGTGCTTGAACATGCACGCATGCACAAACACACATTATTGCAATTTATTAAAATTGTTTCATTTTGACGAATATTTTATTTCAATTGATGAAGCTCCTAGGCTGTCTGCTGCACAACTGAATGTTGTGTGTGTAAGAATACCCAATAACTGTTTTTTGTGGTGATTGAATTTTTAAATAGATTATACAGGTCAAAAAAATTTTTTTTAATCTGAGGAAGAGTTTTAATATCTGAAATCTGTCCATCATATTAGCAGCCATGCTGTTCTTAACATTCCTTTTATAAATTATTTTATGCATTTTAATTATTTTTAAGACTAGGAATCAAAACTGACAAATTATGTTAGAAGTAGGAAAAAAGTAGAAAAAATATATTAGAAGTAGGAAAAAGGTAGAATGAATTGTATGGAAATTAAGCAATGTAGGATTTATTTAAGAACAACGTCATAAGGAACTTGCAGTTGTACTTTTCAAATAGATTCTTACAAAATTTTTGAGGTGGACTTTTAAAGCTGCCCTCGCTACCATTCCATGTTAGTTACTGTGATAATTAAGATGAAAGAAGTGTTGTTTTGCCATTGTAATAATATTGCCCATTCCTTCTGCAGGGTGACTTTGTTAGAATAGCACTGGGTCTGATAAAAGTCTTTTTTTTTTTTTTCACTTAAAGATATGAAATATTGGTTGCTGAAATACTTAATGTTGTATAGTTCCATCAGTTGTGTGCTTTCAGTAGAATGGTAGATTGGTAGTTCTTTTTTCAGCTTTATTTTAACTTAAAATGGCTAGAAAATCTTTTAAATAAAGAAGCAAAGATTACATGAACTTTATTAATGTAGAATGGATTCTTATTTTTCAATCTCATTCATTTGTGATGACTTCTGTAGTAGGGTGAGATTTACAATAGTTGTACAATGTAACAGCTTATATCATTGGTAAAGTTTTTTTTTTCTTTCAATCGTAAAATAAAATGCTATCATTGTAACAACATATTATATTGGCTATTTGAAGAGTATCTTTTATTGCAAAATGCAACACTCAATTTAACAAAAAAAAAAAAGTAATGATTGGTTTGTACATTATAAGCATAAAATTAAATTCTGATACCATCAGAAGGGAAAATGCCACACAATCATCTATAACTCTTTCATAATAAATAAAAATAAATGACATAAAATATAAAAAGAGTCCTTTTACTGGTCATTCTTAAATATAAATACTAAATGCAAGGAAGTGATTATTTTACACATTTTTAATTAATGTACATATTGAGAGAGAAATAAGACACAATATCTTTTTCCATGGATTTTTCTTTAAAAAAATATGAACAATATTATTCAGAGCCCAAATTTTACCATGGTTTCAAAAATAATGGTTTGACACCTCTTTAAGGTTCTTTCTTCAATGGGTTTTCCATGTAACAAACCAACCCTTTTCATTTTGAAAATGATTTGACACCAATTTGATAAGCAAACTCATATTTTACAGATTCTTAATTTGAAAGTTTCAAACTGAAGTAACTGGGAATTATTGTGCAGACAATGTTATGATAATTAACATAGAGATTAAGAGTTAATAAAAAACAAAGCTAAATTTGTACACTATTCTATTGACTTAAGTTTTATATTAGCAAATTGAAATGTATGTCCATCCCTTTCCTTTAACTAACAAGGAGAATGATATAAAGTCCTTTATGTCAAGTATTCTATCTTAGCATTCCCTCTGTAGTCCTATATTTTGAGAGGTTTTACCATTTACCATTGGAGTTAGACAGGGTTAGACAAAAACTCCTTAATTACTGTCTCTATGGACATGCTTTTGATAAGAGAGGCATCTTCAGTGTTCACTGTCTAAATTCCTCCTTAACCTGAGCACCTATGAACACACTCCAACCCCAATTAAATGACACCACTGAGTATTTCAAAACCCTGCTATAAGTGGGTTTTTTTTAGACCTTAGTTCAGTTTTCTTTCGTTAACAAGGCAAAGCGATGTCTTTGTTCAACGATGCATTGAAATTTGGCGCTCCTAATTCCATGACAAAAAACATTTAAACCAAAATGACAGCACAGGATTGACGCCCATTGCTGTCACTTATGCCAATTTTTGTGATACAATCTTGTTTGGGATAAAGTTACATCCCATACTGATTACTATCTCACTGCAAAGTTGTTAAAATGACAATAAATACTCTGAGGTGCTTATGCCTAGCAATGATAATTATAAATGCCAATATTTTATATTTCTGAGGGGATTTGTTTTCTTTTTGTTTTTGTTTTTAAGCAGCAAAAAGGTAAATGCATTACCGAATAATTTCATTTTGGGTATTTTGACATCATAAACCCTGTCAGTACCCTTAAGGGAGCTTAACTCACTTTCACACATTTACTTCCACTCAAAACTTTGTATGTACATAATGACTCAATCTTTTCTACTGTGAATTTCACAGATACTGTATTTTTTTAAGTCATAAGTTCTTAAAATTTGATTATTCCTATTCAATGGTAGCAACAATACTGAAAAGCAGGATACCTAATAGTTCCGTTTTATACAGTAAAAGCAACAAAAAATGTCATTTAAAAGAATACATTTTTGAAGATTCCAAAATAAGTTATCTGTAAGACTGATAATTTTCCCCATTGAAAAGACTGAATCATTACTGTACCAACCATGTTTTAATTCATCATTTGGATTGCAGGGGTTCTGTTTATGAGATTCTCTTACATGTCTACCTCTCTTGATATACTGCTACAGATGGAATGTCAAGATAAAATGCTCAATGTGAAATAGTCTTGAGGCCAACTGCAAATAAATTTTCAAACTGCCTTCAGTAAAAAACAGTTGTTGAAAATTCAAAGAAGGCCTAACAAACTCCCCACTTCACTCTTTCTTTTATATTCCACTGCAAGTAAGTATATTAAAATTGTTACATAGCAAAATCTTGACTGACAACATCTTACTTATTTTCTCATGTCTTGTATATGAAAAAATCAATTAAACAACTTCTAGTGGAACCTGCAAAAGCAAATCACACAATATCAATTAAAATATTCAAAAATCTTATCTGAAAACAAATGTCTACAAAGAATACGAACACAATTCACTATTATGTCTTTTGGTGTACAAATTGCATCATCCATAAAGAATGAGTGAAAAAGTCTGTCAATATTTAAGTCATTTCCTGCATGTTGTTCTGGAAATCCTTCTCAAATACTGGCTTAGCCTCCTTTCTTTAGATGTTCTTCCTCTATCTAGCCATTCCACCACAAAAGACCTGTCATCTATGTAATATTTGTACCTGCAAATACACAATAATCTTATGCATATTTTCTGCTTGTTTAGACATCTAGTTTCGGGGGCAGATCTAGAGATATTTTCTGACTGGCTTCCAAATTATCTTTATTAATCCATCCTCCATTTTTGACAGTCTTCCAACAGAAAAAAATTATAGACACCCATCAGTGTAAACTTGAAAATCTGTCTTCCAGAAGACCACGAAGACACCCTTAATCCGCCCCTGAGTTTTTAGACATCTTTCACTCATCGTTCTTATTTTGACTTCCATTCACATAAAATCATCCTGAGTTGCAGAAGATATATATATATATATATATATATATATATATATATATATATATATATATATATATATATATATATATATATATATATTTACCTGAATCCTCTATAATCCACTGCACTGTATTTCTCTATATTTACCCATTCATATTTGAATTATCAATGTTTCGAGATAATATATACCAGTGAATTGTTCAAATTTAAAGACTCCTACTGTTACACCTACTTTGTCTGTCCAAATTTATCTGTGTATCTTCTTCCATCTCTTCCCATGATTAAGTAGCTTTTATGAATTTCAAAATGGGGACAATTGCATGCCTTCCTCTTGAAAAATGTCAAATTCATGTCTTTGGACACTTGCTCAATGCCTGGATTACAGAAAAAGATTTTATTTTAAATTTTAAATTATCTCCTCTTTCTCAAGTTATATAAGATTCCATTAAAAGAGATAAATATAAAATACATTTATAATACCAGTCTTTTATTTTCATATTACTTAAACTGAATGTGTTATAATATTCAAAAACTTGAAGTTTGGTCCACTCACCTTGCTTTATAACTTTCTTCACAACAACTGTGATATTTACGAGACTGTTCATTTCATCTATGGATATCACCTTTGCTTTCAAAGCTGCAAATAGCAATTTACAACTTAGATGTATATGACAAAAAAATCACCAGGTCTAATGTCACTGTAGCTACCAGGTGCATGAAATGTGATCCAAAGCTAAGGCTAATGTTTCACAAAATAACTTAAGTTTGTAAATTGGTCTGACTAAAATTTGAGACCAAAGTTTAAGTCCACTTTGAGCCAAATTAATCGGCGGTAGTCCAATTAAATAAAAATTGTCTTTTTAATAGCAAAAATAGCACAATATATGATGAAGAATAGCCCCTAGCTTTCTCTTTACTGGAAGTATTATAGTTAGCCTTGTCCAACACACTTTACTCTGCCTTCCAACTCACCGAAATCCATTGGCTTCTCAGACCCTCTTCCACATAGTTTGCGGCGCATTTTGTTAAATGAGATGGTGTACTGGAAGCTGTCTCTGGGAGTGTGGGTATAACACTTGCCACAGTTGCCTGGGGAACAATGGAGTGTTAAATATTTTTGTTTTGAAATATAGATAAAAGAATTGTTCAATATTGTCAAGCATTATTTTTCTTTTTGCATAAGTCTGAAACTAAATCCAAAAACATGCTTCTGATGTAAAGGATTTATTACTGAAAGCATAAATTTTTCAAATAGCATAATTTTATTCTTTCAATGAAATAGAACAGTTATATGTGAAACAACAATTACTGCTAGATATCTGCAGATAAAAAGTACGATTATAAAGCTATATTCTTTAATTAGTTGACATTTTTCAACAAAACTTTGTAATTTTTTTTCAAAATTTTTTTAAATTATCAAATTGAACTTTAGACCTTTATACATATTACTCATAATGTCAACACCTTTTCCCTTAATTGACCCCTTGCTCCTAATTTAAGTACAGACAGCTGGGGACAATGTGTCACCTGCCTTCCACCCCCCATGGCCCCACTAGATTGAGGTAAGGATATACTGGTACATACCCTCTGCACAAATACACTGTCCCCCTTCACACTGCACTTTAAGCAGTGGACTCCCCTTCTTTGGGTGGTAAAATTCTGTACACGTCTCAGCTGGGAAAAAACGAGTGAAATCTTTTAAGTGAATTGAGCAAATGTGGCATAAGATTTCAAAAGGTTATGGATAACTTGATGTATATCTCAACTATATGATTAAAAAATAATTGATCAATTTTTATTAACAATCAATTAAGTCCTGGCTATCAAGATGCTGCAATTCAAATTCTCAGTCAAAAACGGCAGACTTACATGTTTCATAATAATCGTAGATTTTCACAGCTACTGGTTGTGTTCTTCCAACCCTGTGTATTTGTATAGCATCAAATTTGATGCAGTAATCCTCTGCATGGTCAACCTTGAGAAAGATTTGATGATAAGTAATTTAAAGATTTGAAATTACATTAAATGATATTTACAATTTACTTAGCATCAGGTTAATATCATGAGCAGAGTATTGTGTGCTTAAACAAACAAACAAACAAATAAATAAATAACTGCATGCATGATTGGCCATTGCAACGTCTTTGAATCCCCAAATTAATTTTCATAGTAAATGTACCAGAAATACAAAATTGCTCCTTCACATCTAGATTAATTACTCCTCTTATCATGTCATAAACTTGTTATATTCAAAGAACATACCTCCTTCAGGTAAAATATGACTGCCCTGTCAGCAATCTCATATCTTTGGACTTTAGTGTTTTCCTTTTTGACAAGCTGGAATGTAAAAACTTGTTGAAAATGGCACCTTTAAGACAATAAATTAAAAATGTTTATGAATATGCACTGAGAGCTCACATACACCAGTAAGTCCTATCATGTCATACCATGTTATGCCATGATAAAATGTCAATCAATTTCGTAAGAATGTTTAATAATACATGTACTATGCAGAAATTCCATGAAAAGAAAGTATAAAAAATATTTTTGAAAAACTTTTTCCACCCACACAATGTCCATCAGACCTTCATGTAGCAAAAAAGTAAAAAAAAAAAATGGAAAACTTGAACAATTTTCCAAAAGTATTATCCGTGCAAAACTGTTGAGAAAATAACAATATATGATAACCTGTTTTTGAGTTTACATTTTTATTGCAACTAAAAAATTTTCACCAGAACTGAAAAATTGGTTCACAGGTCACAATCTTGCCAATGGCTTTGGATACCAGGCAAAAAAATGGTGATTAAGAGAAAGGTGTTCAAATCTGTTAAGTAAATTAAAGTATTGCTATATAAAGGTTTTACACTCATTGTATGACTTAAAGATAACCCTGCATCAACCACTATCCATGTAGATCTAGATCAGTGTATTACCTCGTTTAAGTCTTCAGTGACCGCCTGGAACCCCGTGTAGAGTCCGACCTCCAAAATGGTCATCCCAGACTTTTTCCCTGGGACCAGATACCTGGCACAGGCATGAATTTCAGTGACGTAACTGGAAACGCCACTCCTCGCCTGCGGTTCTGCTCTCAAGAAAACTTGTGGCTCCTCCCTTGGTCCCCCAAAACGTGAACGTCTGACTGTAGGCCGAGAGCGTGCTTGAGGTCCGAAGGAATAGGACTCCAGATGAGATTTGCGTCGTCTGGTCGGAGAGGAGATTGCAATTCTTGGTTGCACCTCTGGAAGGTCCATGGGGATTTCACCTGGGAGTGGGAACTCTGGGATGCTAAAAGCAGAGAATGTAAAAATTGTCATAAAGCAAAGCAAGCAGACAAAATGTTTTACAAAATAACATGGAATCTCCCTAAATGTGTCATGTTTACCTTCATTTATATATTTAATAATATCATTCTTATCAAAGATGAATCACCCATTTGAGAATTTTATTGGTAAAATAACAGACATACCAAAGTACCTAATGGAATAGTCCTGTGCCAAAATAAGTTTATGCGTTTGGTAAACTGTTAGAAGCTCTTTTTTTTCCGCAAGCAAACTTTTACTCCCTTAAGACATTTCAATGTACATCAAACACCTTCACCAGTCAAATGAGAACACTGAAATCTCTCATGTTAGTTAAAGTTTACGTTTCTGGAAAAAAGAAATATATGACCTTATATGGAAAATGCCTATCTGAGAGGCACAAGTCTAAGGTAGAGTTCTCATGTGGTGAAGCATGACTGAAAATAGTCTAACTGGTAGCTGGTGCATGTAAGTAGTACTTTTTTCTGGACTAATTTGATTCCCATGTGAACATGGCCAAATGAAGGGGGTGAGGCTCAGCACTGTAATGATAGTTATTAAGAGTAAACACAGAGAAGAACAATTCGGTGGGTACATGTGCTGGTTAGCAAGTTTACAGGAATTGACAACACCTGTTGAGATGAAAAAATGAACACATTCAAGTAAATATTGAATAAATAAAGTCCAAGACCTGTTAAGGAAAGACCAATATTGACTGGTTGCAACTGAAGACACTTATCTATTTGGCCAGAAAGCATGACTGAGGTAAAGGATCAAATGTGAAAAGCTGAGATTGGAGATCAGTCACACAGGGATTCAAAGGCATACAATGTGCGTCTGACCTTTTTTTTTCAAAAATGTAAACCTTTTCCAAAACTGATGAAAAACTATGGTCTATAACCAATTTTCTGAGTTTTCAATTTCTGATTTTTATCATCAAAAGTGAAATTCACCAAGCTTCATCTCTACCATGAGAGTGACTAAAACACTAAGAACCCAAATCCAGGTTATGGATCATAATTTTGTCAAATGCCTTGGATATTGTATATTTAAGTGATGAACCCAAAAGTGATAAAATTTCCGAGCACATAAAATTTTGCTATACTAAGGTCTATGCCCATTATATGCTTTAAAGCTCACTCAGGATAAAAGCATACCTTCCAAACACTAATTCTGCACGGCGGGGCTGAACAGCAGGAAGGTCAGCAGGGGTGAGGCCCTGGGGTCTGGAAAAAGTTGACCGCCTTTTCACTATTGTTTATTTCTCATCAAAACTCACCAAAACTCTGCGAAATCATGAGCATGCAAAGATTTATGTGCACTTTCCTTTGAGGTTGCTTGATTTTCACATGCATTATAGTTTCTGTCAAGAAATGAAATTCAAATTTCAAAATAAAACTGTCAACTCTATTGATTTGTCCACACAAAACTGCATCTTATTCAGTCTGTGTTTACACATGAACTGATCAACAAGAATGGAACATGGGCTTAACAGCAACACTAGATGGCTACTGAGGTTATGTTACACAAAGGCATGTCAAGGCACTTTTATATCATTTCTGAAATAAGTTTTAGTTGATGTGGACAAAGCCTTATGAACACTCCAGCCAAAGATACTTGTTACTATACATGTAGATTACTCATCCACATATGGGATCCTAACTATAGGCACAAATATCCTCCCTATCTTCTCTTGTGTCACCTCACACAAAGCACACAAGATGAAGCATGCAAAGCAAGGCACAAACATGCAAATTATGTCAAATGTGAAAGGCAGTATTATCAATATTCTCACAAATGCAATTTTGGTCTAAAACTTAAGACCACCTGTTAAAAGCTTTTTTTTTATTTTGAGAAAAAGGCTCCTACTGAGATGGGCTATACTCAGGTGGACCCATGTCTATGCTGGAAAACCAAAGCTTCACATCTTCCAGCAGGTGCAAATTTTTAAAACTCATCTCTACCTCAAAGTACAATATAAGCAGGTTTAAGTTAGATCTGATGAGAACAGGGACTATGTAAATCGGCATGGCCATGGGGGTGGGGTGGGGGTACAGTGGGTTAGAAAGAACCACCCTTTTGACTGGAAATGGTTCACCCTGAATCAAAAAAAAGAAATTCCATGCTATTTCTCAAATTGAGTCATTTTACAGGTATTTAGGCAATAAAAAAAGTCCACTTTGTAAAAAAAAAAAAAAAAAAAAGAAAAAGAAAAGAAAAGAACACCCAAGCACACATGCACACTTTAGCTGTTTTCTACAAAAACATTTAATATTATTCTCCATTTCACAACTACATTTTACTTACCCAACACTGGCCCCATTGGCCATGTGGTCATCTAACAGGTTCTTCTCCTTACTGTTCACTGTGAGGTTAAAGCGGCAGATCTCTCCCTTTGTGGTAGGCACATTGTAACGCATTTCAACAGACATCATACCCACACCAGAGCCCACTGTGCTGATGGTCAGCTGTCCCCCTGTTGGGGCCTGTTGATAAAAGAAGAAATAGGTCTGAGTGGCTGGGTGCTTGTGGAACCTTGTTTAATATGACATCATACGTTCACCAAAATCAAACCCATTAAGAGAGAAATAAGTGTGACCGTTCCATGTTTTCAAAAGCCAAACAGAAAAACGGGCAAGGTGTGGTTCCTAAACAACTGCATCTCAGTATGGACCATTATGAGTTTTAAGAAACAACTAATAAGCCATCATGCCAATGCAGTAAATTTGTGTCAAATATTCTATGGAGCCTTGCAATGGAGTTGCTGTTTTATTTTTAATCGAAACTGTTCCTCCCACTCCTATGTTTTGGTAATATTCACAGGGTAAAAATACAACTCCAAAACCTCCTCAGTTCACCTCCCTATAGGTAATTGATTACTAGGACATACACTTACCACAACTTCCTGTAGAACCTCTGCATTTTCACGTTTAATTCTGATCTCTTTCTCGTACGTGGTGTCCACATCAGAGTGCACTTCACACTGCAGGTCCACAGTGGAGGAGTGGGTCTTGGCAGCATACTCCGCTAAAGCATGGAGAGCCACCACTGTGTCCTGTAAGTATGTCATATAGAGATTATGATATAGTGCAATATACCATGTCAAATAAGCTACTCACAGTTGTCTTATATTCCTTATTTAAGATATCTCAGTGTGAAGTAAAGACAATTAATTAATGGTTAAAGGAATGAATGATCTTATTAATAACAATTACAACATTTTTACTTTGAAGTGAACCAACTTTCTGTGTAAGGCCAAATAAAATTTGTGAAAAAGAAAAGGTATAATATATATGTGGGCATAATAAGTTCAACATGCAATCAAGATGCATTGTTCTGTAATAAGGTTTCATCTTTCCTTACAGAAATGACCTTACTGCACTGCAACAAGCCAGGTGTCTGCCATTCAAACCTGCTACATTTTTTCACTTACTTGTGTTGACACAAACTCTCCTTTCTTCCCTCTTTGTTCTGTTAGCCACATCACAACTGGGTTGCTGAATGTGATATCTTCAGACAGCATCTGGGTGAGGAGAGCGTAAGATGCCGTCTCCACTGCAATGGCGGAGGGGTTGTGTTTGTACTGGTATGGGATGTAGTCCCCTTCGTATCTGGAGTAAGTGTCCACTTCCCAGTACCTGTGGTTCTTAACTAGAAAATAAATAAATAAATAAATAAATAAATAAATAAATAAATAAATAAATAATTGATTAATTAATTAAAAATAATCTGATAACTTCTAGTGCAAAAACTATGACTGAAATTACTTGTAAGGCTGCTATAAGCAAGTGACAATGGAAGCCAGCACCCCCCCCCCCTTCCTCATCCTTGAGAAACAGACTGTTCGCAATTAGTATGGGGAGGGGGGTGGGAGGGCTAGCTCGATAAAATTATTTTGCACTAAAAGGTGACAAACTGTGTTTCCTTTGTGTTTTCTAACAGTGCACAATAACATTCAGATTCTTAAATGAATAAATACATTTTAAGATGCATTTTAGAGATGCATAAAAGGCTGTCTACTTCAAATTAATTCAACTTCTCATCCAATTAAAAAATCAAATACATAGTATTTTAACACTTGACTACTAATAATATAGTGTACATCAGACAAGCACAAGACATGGGAAAAGAAAACTGCACATTCATTAACATAATTATACAGTTAATCTTTATGTGACCCAATTCATGCAATACTAACAAATTATTCAAATAACATATATAATGCCATATTTAAATTAAATTAAGATATACAATTGTATCCTACTAAGGAGAACAAAAGGTTAAACATTAATAAATCAAAGCAAAAAAAGATAATCTTTTATATATAAACAAAAGAGACATGCACTACAAGAAAAGCAAACATAATCTACAACTAAATAACTACGTACCAGACACCCCCATACCTGGATCAAATCGAGACAAAATTCGAAGTTTTCTGTTTGCTCTATCTTTTTGTGAACTGCCAGCCAACGCCAAGGCATACGAGATGATGGAAATAGTAAAGGGGCGGATTGGTCCAGAAATTCGGGTTTCCAGGTAAGACGTTGCCTTGCGTTGTGCTAATGTTACATCCTGAAAATATGTAACCATGACAAAATATTCTGTTATTTAACATTATTGTTCATCAGTAATAAAGTAAATATATTGTACTACAAAACCATGTGGATTGAAAATTCTTACATGAAAAAATTCATTCTAAAGAACTTCATTCTAATGAAAGGTAATTGTATGGAAATGCAGTTTAATTTAATTTGTAGACATAAAGGAATATAACAAAAAATCCTTTACTACAGTAATATAATGGTTTTGAATAGATGATAAACCCTTCACTGTCACCTGATGGCATTTAAGGTGCATATACTGTATTTTAGCAATGTATGAGGCTAAAAAATTCAATTATCATATACAAAAAGAGAAAAACTTTATTTATTACACTTAATTTACCTCATTCTTACAGTATTGTTTACACTCAGACAGGGCAATAGATACAAATGCTGTCAGGGATGCATCACCATGGAGACCTCCCTGCAAGAAAAAAAAATACATTATTTCTTCTCTTTTTCTGTCATACATCGAAGATCTGAGATATTTTGTAGATCACGCCTCCAAAAGCCAAAAGAAAATCTACATATTAATGAATTCATAGCAATGAAGCTGTAACAACTGAAATATTATTTTCATTATTTTATTTATTTATTTATTTATTTATTTATTTATTTATTTATTTATTTATTTATTTATTTATTTATTTCTAGTCAGTGACTTAAAACCACTCTGTACTTTAACAAACTAATAACACCTACATACCTTTTGTAAAAAAAAAAAAAAAAAAAAAAAAAAACATGAGGGGATAACATGATTGCCATTTGGATTGTACAATGTAACAGTTAATCAGCATATTGAACCAACTTACTGTCATCTCCTTGTGGACCACCTCACCACTCTCAAAGAAGACACCATTTGCATGTTGGTTTTTTAAGAGCCATTTGATTCCACTGCAGATGACATTGTCATCAATGTAAACATATTCTTTGGCACGGCAGAAATTCTTTACCACAAAGGCAGTCAACCTGGGAGAAAATTGCATTCTAATTGTGATATTTTTGTTTTTCATCATATTTAAGTATCTAGTAGGCATATATTTATAAAGATTTATTTAGTGGTGACAGGCATGTTGTTTATTACAGTCAAGTCATATTGAGCGATTTCTTTCTTTGACTAATAATAACCATGTATTTTTAAATATTCATATTTACATTGTGACCCAAAGTTTTAGTATTCAGTCAAAATAAAAAGTCAGCAACATAAAAGAATATGAAGTATTCAAAAGGAAAATACCACCAATACCAATATATTTCAAACTGAAATCTAATTTGAGACTATAAATCATAAAAATATATCTTAGTTCAGGTAGCTCATAAAATACCCACCAGGTGCTTGCAGGATAGTGTGTCCAAGCTGAAAAAGATCCATCTTCCTTACGGAAGGTAAGCTCCCTCTTGTAGCCTGAAAATGAAATGGAGATGCATGAATAAAACTTGATATACTAGTTGTTTTGCTTTTGTTACATCATAAGTCACAAATTGATATATTTAATTTCATGATTTGAAAGAGATGCCATTGCACCTATAAAATACTATACTTAATTTAATGTCTTTTCAACTGGTCTAACGTCTTTTTCTCAACATATCCAATCATGCAAACAATATCATTAATTTCTGATAATATAATTTTCTTCTGCTTCTGCAAGAACAAATTCTTACACTGTTACACATGCATTCACATTTCACATACACGTAAATAAATTGATCCTACCTTCAGTGATGAAATTAAGAGCTTTCTTTTCCACCTCCGGAGTGAGTTGTCCAGTTTTCTTCAAGTAATATGTGGCATACAATGTTGGGGCCATGTAGATCATGGTTTGTTCTCCGCATCCCTTTGGCATCACCATGAACTCCTCAATACCATTGATATAAGAAGAGACACTGGGACCAACAACAGAACCTAAGGAAAGAACAGGCAAATAGACTTTTTCATTATTTCTTGTGTAAAGACGGTAAAAAGGAAACTTTGGTATAGTCAAAGATGTTTTATGACAAGCCCCATCTCCAGATAATTGCCCATATCACTCATGATGAAAATGACAATAATGTCAATATGTGAACATAGAAGAGATGCAGCTGTGACCCTAAAAATCCAATTGGTCAGCTTATCGTTGCTTTAATTGACACCAATGGTTGAACTGTTTCTGAACCTTAAGTCCTATTCCAACAGAGTACCTGATATGCTTTTCTGTTTTGCACCAATCTGGTTGGTCCTCACAAGTTATTATGCTATAAGACATGGGTTGTAGTGTTTACTGCCCATCACAAGTTTGCTGTTTGCAACTATCTAAATTCATCTAGTTAGCAGACCATGTCAAGGGGGTCTGCTTAGGTGACTTCCTTATAAAGTAACCATGCAGGCTTTTAGGTTGTCAGTCTCTCAATATGGTCAAAAACAGACAAGTTTACAGCATTATATGAAAAGGGCCTTCTAAGAAGTCACATACGTCGTGACAAGTGAAGTATCCCCACCTAAGGCACTGACTGTGCATTTCTCAGTTCCTTCAATGGCTTCCTCTGGGGGTCTGGCATCCACTATGTTTGTCTGCCTCTGGTCAGTATCTCCTAGTAAGTTAAGAATTCAAATAATAATAATAATAATAATAATAATAATAATAATAATAATAATAATAATAATATGTTTAACACTAGAAAAAGCTGTAATATATATTTCCCAAAACAACATAAAAAATCAGATAGAAACGAGTTCCTGAAGCAATTCCTGGCACTTTTTACATTTTTTTCTGCTCACAAAAGAAAGCTACCAAGTGACAATCACTTTGAATCAGATTGCTTAACTTTATTTTGGTAAAAATTTTACTTGGTAAATACTTCAAATATTCCAGAAACAATATTTTCAGTAAAAAAATACATACTTGAACTTCTCTTAAACCTGCTGAGTCGACCTGCTGGATCTAAGATCACTGAGTATGATTTCACCTTCTCTATTCCCTCAGGCTAAAAGAAATTAATACTTAATTTATCATAAAAAATATTCAGAATTTTTGTATAAAATGACAAATTGATGTTCACAGTTTCCCTTTATTACAAAATGTCATTTATCATCATATTTCATGGTGATATAACATACCCAGTACTACATGTGGCATGTAGCACTACTTGCACCATGGGACATTTGATTAACTACTTTTTGTAATATGTACGAAATCCCTTTCCTTTGAGTATTTGTCTTAGTAATCAAACGACAGAAAACAGAAATAAAACTTACAACAACCAGCAACTTCTTCTCCACAATGTCGGGTCCAAAACTTGTAAAAGCCTTAACTTTGATTGGATACTCTCCAGCTTCAAGTGGAACTATGGGATATGATACAGAATACGCATCACCAGGGGCAACCACAAACATTTTTTCTTGGCTCTTGGTTCCAGGTAATGAGCTGGCACATACACCTTCTGTTCCATCCATGAACATCTTAACCTAGAAATAAAGATGGATATATTCATCCGTTTTTTTTTAATTGCCCCCTTAAAAGGGATTATATTCAAATAGGAAATCTGTAATTGAATGGACTTATGTAACTCAGTAATTTTATTCCCTTGATAATTACTTCAAGAAAATTGTACTTTTGCCACTTTCTATATATATAGTAACAGACAGAAGTAACACTTGAAATAAAGAACATTACTTTCAAATTGTGCAGGAATATGATTATGGAATTGTTTGATGTTAATTGCCATTGTGTTGGGATGAGAAAAATCAATGTGTTAGGTGTTAAATTCAACGGTTTTCTTTAACAGATTTAAAAATCTTTCACTGAACTTAAAAAGACAAGCACATGCTGCAGCTCACCCTCATCTCTACTCTCTCGTAATTATACACAGTGGCCATAACCTCTATCTGCTCTCCTTTAATGGCAGAATATGGAAGCTCCAGCTGCAGGAAGAATGACTTGAACACGGTCACATTATGGGCCCTGGTAACACAGAGACCATCGCGGGCCCCTATGCCCAGACCATGGACAACCCAAGTGGTAATTGAATCTGGGAAGTTAACACTATGACTGGCCTGGCCATAATCACTGTAATATAATATGCTTTGCATGTAAATCATATTTGATCAGTGGATTCCTGATGCTACAATATCTGCATTCCAATGAACTTGTACCATATATTTTCTTAAAACTTTATTTCTACCTTTTTTTTTTTTTTTTTTTAATTTTCAACCAATTTGAATAATAAATTCATTGCAATACATTGCCCCTTGTCTACCTTAATATACTGATGTCACATAAATGTCTTCAAACCAGATTTGAAAACCAAATTTTAGATATATCAAGATTAGGCACTACAAAACATGAGTATCAAAATGTGTTGTCTTAAAACACCAGGACAAACAAGAGGAATTATTTAAAACAACATGCAAAAAAACCCATACTCCAAGTAAATGTCCTCAAACAACCAGGATTCGGGGAAATCTGAGCGGACAGGCACTCCACTCTCGTCGACTGGGATCTGGTCAAAGGTCAGCTGCAGGGGCTCAGGGATTATGTCACTTGACCTGCCTCTGAAATCGTCAGGTTTTGCATACACCATATAAGCTGACAATCGTCCTGGAAGTACAGAACATAGACTGATGATGATAATGAAGTGTATATATGACACATTACCAAAATGTAAGGGGTCCACACGGTCCTTACTGGTAGATTAAAATAAACTATGTAGATATGTAAGTTACATAAATTTTAGATCTTAAATCCATTCTTTCTATCATTAAAAAAAAACATTAGGAATCAGTTTTTGCACCAAAGTAAATACAACTGCAATATCTTATAGAGAAGTCATAGCCTTTTGAAAAAAAAAAACATGATGAGCCTAGGCCAAACAATTAATAAAATTATATTCCTTTATATTAAACCAAATTACACCAAGTAAATATTTTATCAGCAAAAATTCCCTGCCTTTATATTAAAAGGTATGGGATTTTCAGAGCAACTCCACTTAATATCCAAAGTCCAATGATACACACCTATCCTCTCTTGAACAGGCATCTCTTTACAGCAGCGGAAGAAAGTAGCTCTACAGTGATTGGTCACATTCCTAAGTCCAGCAATTCTCTGGTAACATGTGAGTCCAGAAAAATCCCTGCGTTGACCCAGATTACAGCATCTTGTCTTCTCGTCCTGCACGTTCCAGTTGTCAAGACGTGATCTTCCTGATAGAAAATAAGTTTTTGAGGCAAACACAGTAAGCAACTTCTTTTTATCTTTTTAAGTTTAATCTAATCTGTAATCAAGTATGTTGGCAGGGAGGCTGGGAAGGTTTGAAAAATGCCAATCTTTTGACCTGGAATTAGCACGCTCTGAATCAAAATTTGATCAAAGTTGTATGATGTACAAAGGTAGCCTTTTTCAGAAAAAGAACCTTTCCTTTGAAATTTCTGGTAACAAACAAGAGCTCTACTTCCCATGAGGGTACAAATTATAAAACTCAAAGGAATTGGGACAAATGCAATTGGCTCCCTCTAAAATGAAACTACCTAATCTTCACACTGAAACAAAATTCAAATTTCCGGTATGTGTTAACACATGCTAATGCAATTAAGAGCACTGCCAACCTGGAGTAAAATTTGAATGCTTTTAGAAAGAAATTAAAAAAATCTTAGGAATCAACTTCAAAATAGCCATACTTATTGCCCTTTTCTTCCTGTGTGTTGGTAACACATCACACTTGATGTCCGTCCTCTTGTCCACATACAGATCTGCACTCATAATCACAGCTATCCCAGCATCCTGAAGATATCAGGTAAAATATCCAATACTATTATATAAATGTAGTACTAAGAAAATAAACAAATGAAAGAATGAGAGGGGGATTGTAACCCCGTGTAACCCTGTTAGTGGACAGATTAAAAACTTTTCTGTCTGATATGAAACATTTTACTTTAAAGATTAGTAACCTCAACAAAGCAATCACAGAACATTTTAATTTTGCAAGAACTACCTTGAATACTGTGCGGCTATCTTGACCACCTCCTGGAGTACAGCCAAGATCATAACTCTCCATTGCAGAAAACATCTGAAATATATTTTCAAAAAACATATCAGCAGTTAAACACAGTAATCAGTATATTACAGGAGATAAAGAAACAATGACCAACTGACTCATAAAAATAAAAAAAAAACTCTTTGACATTGCTAGTAATGGGCCTGTCTATATGAAAATGCATTTTACCTCAGTAGGGTATGTGTGCAGGGCACATCAACGGACAACAGCAGGACTAGATTTTCCTACTGTGGTGAGTTAATCTTAATAACAAGACCTGCTAATATTGAACATGTACTAACTTGTAAATGTTTACAATATTTCCTACCTTCTGTGGTGTTAGCCTGTCATTAGCATTGAGCAGGTACACGGCCTTGTCCACTGCCAGTAGCCCCACCTTGGACTTAGGTTCTCCCTTAACCACCACTTTACCATGCTGACCTGGGTGATAATCTTTTTGGTCAGTGGTCAACAAAATCTGAAAACAATTGTGATGGGAATGGTTTAATAAATTATCACAAAATTTAATTAAATGAAATTTATTGCCAAAAAGGCAATGCTCTTTTATATGTTGTTCAACTTAGTTTATATTTTGATCTCATATACATTCATATTATACCTTATTTCTGCATTCATCCTCAATATCAAACCAGACGGAATCTGCCACCACTTCACCTGTCGTCTGGTCAATGTAGTGAGCAACCAATCGTGCAGCAGGCAGCATGTCATGTGACACAATAAATGGAAGAAATGTCATTCCTCCTTCCATCTTTGCAACACTTCTTTGTTCTGTGATTTTACCTCCAGCAATCACCTTAAACATACAGCATAACTTTTCTATTTTTCAATCTGGCAGAATATTGGGGGGGGGGGGGGGGGGGGGGGGGGGATTTGAGGGATGGGGGATGGATGTGCAAGCTACCAGAAAATACTTTCTTTATCTGTAGTTTAAAACTAATTTAGATACTGCATTATCAGCAATAAAAGCTTAAATTCTAACACTTGATTTACATAATCTTTACAAATAAATAATTAAAACTGACAAAATGCCTTTAATTAATTTGTTATAAACACTTTTTGAATGTGTTTGTTACCAGAGATTAAGCAGTATAGAAAGCCTACCATATACTGAATATTAACATTCTGGTCAGTTGTTAAGAAGGCTTCTGCAGCAATGGAATCCCCAACCTAAATTCAGATCAGATAAGAACTCTGACTACCACATAGTCAGCCAAAATATATAAGCAAATTAATAAATAAAAACTTTCGTGTATCTTGTATCAAAAAGTAACTGCTGTAGCATATGCTACTTTATTTAAAAGCATACACTTTTTGTTTAACCACCATATTATAATTTTCTTGCATAATGTCTATTGAAATCTCTTCACAAAATTAACAGTACTTCATGAAACACAATGATTTTCCTTACATTGATCTGCCTTTCCTTTACTCTGACCACCATGTACTGTTTACTTGGAGAGTGATAGGCAGTGGTCACTTGAGTCAAGTTGGCTGATGGCGACATATCTGAGGTTTTGACCTTGGAGAATGATACAGATCTACATGCTCAGTTCTATCAATTTAAGTCATTGACTTCAGTTAAAAATTGTTGTTATTGAATATCAATCCCTCATTTCTTTATTTCTTCATTCATATTTTGTTGTCAACGATACTGTAAATCTATACCCGATTCAAAATCATGGTCATTAAAACAAAAACTAAAATGACAATTAATTTTACAGTAATGCTAAACAAGCACCAGTCAACTGATCAATTTATTCAAAATTTACTCAAATTAATCATTACATCAATCAGATACACTTGAATTAATCAAATAACTAACTGTCATGTAAACTTACTGTCAAAGCCAGTGTGTCTGTATTTGGTGGAACCAGTACAGTGAATTGTGCTTGACCATGGTCATCCGTCTCTACTGTGGTTGGTCCATTGTCCATCATCTCCACGGCAACCTGTGACCAGTCGGTCAGTATAGCAAAAGCAGACAATGAAACCTGCACACTGGAGGCTCGGGTATGGTTGGCATAGAAGAGGTCAACCTAAAAGATAAAGGTATTACTTTAAAAATTAAAAAATTTTTTTTTTAATTTAAAGTTGATTTTAGTTATGGGTGTATGCTGAACTATTTTCAGCATTAACCAATCAATTTTCCATGTGCTAGTCATTCACAATACTAAAGGATATACTGAATATATAATACTACATATTATGAAATGAAAATTTAAGGACTTAAAGAATTTTACAAATCAACTTTTTTGTATATTTGTTAATTTATCTACTTTGAAAGTTTGCTTCACAGAACATTAAAATTATGCCAATATAGAAGAAAAGAGAATTGTGTTGGGGTTCAAGGTTACCTTAGCATCAAATGGCAATCCAGGCTTGAAGTAACGGTTTGTCCTCTTGAAGTCAAGATAATATGGGGACCTGACAAATTGGGCAGAACTGTCCTCCTTAATCTCCTTCTTGCCTGTGGCCCTCTCAGTAACCTAGAGGACAAAAAGTGATTTGTTTTTTAAAAAATTATTTCATGAGGAAACAAGATCAACAAACATATGAAATATTTAATTTATTAGTTCCAAGCAGAATATTACTTTGTCACATAAACACACAATGGGTACAAATATGTAAAATAGATAATCAATGATATAAAAAAAAGAAAAGCACTGGAGATTTTTTGGCTAGTAGGCTATAGTATCTAATTCAGGTACATGTAAAAACGATTTCTGGCAACAAAAATGCATGTATTTGAAGAAGCCCCATGTTTGATTTCATATACGTACCTCAGCATGTATGTAGAACCTGGCGCCATCTGGGAACCAGAAATCTTCTCCAAGGTCTCTGATGTATTGAGTGCTCACCTCCCAACTGACTTCTCCATTCACCATCTAGAAAAATTAAATCTGCCTCTTAACAAGTTCATCAACTTTGTTTTAATGGAAAAAATTTGTTTCTGCCAGAAATAATGTGACATAAATTAATACAATCACTAAACTACAGTGAACTTGGCTTTGTCTTTTCTCATTCACTTTATGAAAAAATATCTTGTTTTTATTTGCCAATTTTTACTTAAGACACTATAATTAATTGTGCACATTCAATACACACTGTCTTAAAAGCTCATTTTCACATTACACAAAGACATTATAATTTCAAATCACTAAAATAATAACTGATACACTCATCTTGTACATATATCTAAAACATTTTTAAAATAAATCTTAATTCTGCTAATGCTTGCAGACATACCCCTATTATACTATTTGCAAAAAGAAGTCTAACTGAGATAATAGATTGAAGGAACTAGGCCATTTCCGATAACAAAAAAATTACCTGTAAATGTTTTTGTGTGCCAAACACTATCACTTCACCTTCATAGTTCATGATTCCAAACTTCATGAATACTGACCCTTTGACTCCTTTCCCATAGACATACCTAGAATATATACATTTTTTATTACACATGCAAAGTTTGAGAGTTCCAAACCTGTAGGAGTATGCATATTTCCCTGTATGTCATAATATCTGAATTAAAAATGACTCGTTTTAGACACAAGTATTTGAATTAATTGTGCCCATTGACATTGCCTGATGCAGAAATTAGAGCTAAGTGTCTTTGTATCTAAAAGTATCTAAATATTCCATGATCCATCATATTTTATATATATTTTGCACTTTCAACATTATTTTTTCAATCCACTTCACTAATAATTAGAATGTTCCCTTTTAAAGGGAAGAAAATTCTATTATACTATTGGTGCCAAAATCAAAATTTATTTGAGACTTTGATCTGATATGAAAATTAAATATCTGGGTCTGGTGTTCATGCACATTTTGGATATGTATTGGCAATGATCCATATTTTAATTTCATCATTTCAGAATACTCACTTTGCAGTTACTTTTCCATGTATAAGAACATCATGGGGCAAAATATATGGCCTAGATATCACCTTCACTGAGAAAGTAGGCAAAACTGAAAAAAAGGTTTTGGAGAGTTATAAGAATTGGAAGCATGCTTGAAATACTGTAATTTATTTACTTTTTTGGCAAGTTGCCATTTTAATCTAACACTGAGACAATTTTGCATTACTATGAAATATATATAGTAAAAAAAATACTCAAAAACCTTACGATATATTAAAGTGCATCATTAAATTAAAAAAAGTACATTAAGCACTTTAAGCTGTGGTTACAGTAATGTAAGCAAAAATACACCCTTTTTAATGCCTGGTAGGAGCCTGAACTATTTTTTAATGCAGAAAACTCACCATATTCCTTCACTTCAAACTTCACTGAAGTGTTCTGAAGATGCTAAGTAAAAGATAACAACTACTTAATTATCTATATAAGAAACTAATTTAGCTCATCTATAAAAATTTTCAAATTACATTTCATACGATTGAAATATAGATCAAATATTTCACATATTCCCTTCTAAGCAAATCCAAATAAGGTTTGATCACCCCACAACTCATGTTAAGTTATAACTTATTATAATGATAATAAAATTTTTTAAAATATGTTTAATAGCTGGCTTAAGGCAAGACAATTTTTTCTTTCTTTATTTCTATGTACCAGGAGTAAGATTGGGCATTTGCATTTCAAGTTACACATGTTGTGTATACACCTTACATCTAGTCCATAATATGCTGCCACCGTCCAGTTCCCAAACATTGGGAAAGGTGGAAAGGTGAAGGTCAAACTGATGAAACCCTCCTTGACTGTGACGTTAGTGTAACGTTCCACAACTGTTCTTTGAGGATTCTGGGAAAATCAAAAGATTTATCTAAATTTTCATCATTTCTAAACTCTGCTTTGAAAGAAATGTGCAATTAAATGACTTATCAAATGTTTCACAATAAAAATTCTGCTCTGTTTAAGCAAGAGTTAAAAATCAAGACATACCATCTACCAGTTTCAATTTTGCAAACAATATATAAAGACTCTGCCATTAGCATCATTTCCATGCAATTTAATCATAATCAAAACTTAGCAGAGATACAATCTTGGATTCTTGCAGATTTCATGTTTACCATCTTAAGATACAAGCAATCTAATTTATATACTAATAAATTGGACTGGTGAGGGACAACCCCCCCTTTCCCCCACCCACTGTACTTTTACTCTTATTCCTTATAATGAAACACACTTTAAAAAAGCCCTCCCCATCTGGAGTTTTCATTTCTGTTTCTATACCAAAATGTCAGACCAAGAATGTGCTGACAAAAAGGTAAATCATTATATTCTGAAAAAACTCAGGATCTCAGGTTGTAAAAACCAGGGTTTTTTGTCCAATTTTCAGCCCCCAACTGAGTGTTAGGCATGTGAAAAATGTTCCTAGCGCCTTTGTTATGTAGCTGTGGTACCTTCTCATTGGTTACACTGTAATTAACTTTTTTCTGCTTTCAGACAAAAAAATATTGGTAATCTTTAAGACTTCACCATAAAATATATTTCCTTTGTTTTCATGTTCAGTTCTGAATTTTATATGAAATGAATCACTAACAGTAGTTACAGATGGCATGAAATTTGAGTTTTCTTCAGTTAAGTTCAACAGAAATTGTACAGTTACCTGCACTTTTTCTCTTAACACCAATGAATTATAACCAGAACATCTTATTCAATGTCCAAGGCAAAAAAAGAACCCTGAATGTTCTCTTGATAAGTGCTGTTGTTGCCATTTTAATTTTCTTTTTTTTTTTAAATACCACGCACTAAATCCATAAGGGCTCCAAGGGCTAGGTGAATAGGAACCTTATTCACTAGGTAAACAAGTGCAATGTGCAGTAAATGTGAAGGATTTGAGATTCTGGCACAAACCTGGAACTTGAGCTGTTAACTTGTGTGAGATCTTTCAAACTGTCAATTTGTACTTGTAAAAGCAGATACAAGTTCATAGTTCCTACATGTACATGTAACAGGATAACCAACTTCTCCTTGTAAGAACTATAATACTGCCTGAGCTGTACATGGTACAGTATATCCAAATTAAACTACATCTTTCTACAAGTGTGTGATCTACTTACAATTCCCCTAATTATCTTAAATAACTCTCTTTGTAAAAGAGTGATAATCAACTGCTCCTTGAAAGAACTACAATGCTGTCTAACATTTGTTCACGGTACTACTTTACAAAGTGAAGAGCCTCTCTCTCTCTCTCTCTATATATATATATCACTTTCTCTTTCAGTTCTTCAGACCAATATTCTAAAATAGATGCTGTTTCTAGTTACAACTATAAAGATGTTGTCTTATTCATCTTCTTCTTCTCAGGATGGTTTGGGCAACTATTATGAGAAGATTTTATATCTCTCAAGTGGTATTTAGTGAATCTCTGTTTGTTACTTATGCCTACTTTATGGCAGTGCACATAGCTGAAAGGGTCTTCCAACACACTTGTAGGATCACAAGCTTTTCTTTTTTCTACTCAATGCTAGGAGGAGGCGTATTAATCTGTTAACTGATTGCATTCAGCTAGAGTCCCCAAAGAGTTGATCTGCAGATCAAATATGGCAACCCAATTAAAAAGCTTGCTGCTTAATTCCCAATAAGACACTGAATAGATTCCCTTCGGGGATTACGCAACAAGCATTCAAGTTGGTTGGCCATATTTGATCCTTGATTCTGTTAGTCTGCTGTTCTGAATGTGCTTTAAGTTTTTTGTCATGTCTCTAGGAACTTGTGCTTACCATAATGTCAATTTGTATTGGATCTGAGGTGGGCTTCATGTCTTGGTTGAGATAAACCACTCGCATCTTTACTGTAAAAAAAGCAATGACAGTTTCCATGACCCAATGTGTTAATTTTTCACCTTTTACTTCCTTCGATATGTACATTTGAAAGACTATGATTTTATGTAGCATTTTGAAATCAAAGATCAATGTCTTGTGTTAAAAACACCGTTCAGAAAAATTACCAAATGCAGCATCCCTTAAATACATGTACAATAAAAGGAAATTTAGTGCATGATACATGTGCTTCCCTGTGCAATTCACTTATAAGATTGAAGATAGTATTCTGAGGAAAGAACTGAAAAAAGTGCATAAAACTTTGAAAAAATCACAGTAATTCCCCAAAAAATTGCTTAATACTTTATTTGTTACCCAGCATCAAAATGGAAAATAAGTTGGATAGATTAGACAAGAAATAATCAAATATAATTATTTTTACAGAAAAAATCTGAAATAGACCAAATGCCACACCCCTTTAATATATGATAAAAGGAAGTATAGTACATGACACATGTGCTTCCCTGTGTAATTCACTTATAAGATTGATGAAGATGGTATTCTGACTATAGACAAGGGAACTCAGCAGTGTTATAAACTTCCATTAAACTGCTACAAAAAGCAATCTGGCCCAGATGCACTTAGCCTTTATGAAAAAATAATGACAGTCATTTTCTGAAGGTCTGAAATTCAAGACATAGTAATCACATTATATAGTACTTTAGAAGGCATGTCTTATTGGAAATCTATGGCATTTTGGAACCAAGAGGCAATTTTAACATTGTTAGCAATGTTGCTTGCTTGTACAGTTGATTCCTCAGAAATTTTCCTTTACATGGCCTTTCTTGTAAATTTTTAACCATGTTTAAGAAACAATTCTGTGGATTTTTAGAAAAAAAAACTTTCACTTTCATTTTGTAATTATATTGTTTAAACTGTCTGATTTTTACACTAATTTTGTGGACAATTTATATCTGCACCCAAAGACCCAGCCTAAAGTGAAATAAGGGAGGGGAAGAGGAAGGAGATATCAATTGTCACACATACGGAACAATCCATTCGTACCCAATGTTATTGATTAGTTCTCACTTCCAACATTACTGACCAAGGTCTCAGACAAGATTGAAACCCCTAAGATAGGCTTCAGAAAAAGTTGTGTAAAAATCTAAACATTTAACTTGATGTTACCTTTACACTTTTACATCCTAGAAAATAAGACATTTACCTTCTTGCTTTGGTGTATAAATTGGTTTATCTGTCTGAATGAAAACATATCCAGTTCTTGGACTGACAAGCACTGGTATCTCCTTCTGAAATTGAATGCTGGGAGACTCGGATTTGGCCACAAGATACACATATCTCTTTGGTGCTGTGCTCATGGGAAGATCATTTGAATTCACTTTTATTGTTAGCTCTCCTGGTATTCCTGCAATCAAGGACAAACTAGTAGAAAGTAGTCTTTATATCAATAACATCAGGAGACACTATAGTCTACTAGTACATGTATCCAGTATCTTCTAGTATGTTTCTTAAGATGCTCACTGTATGAAATAGATTCCTGGCTATAATTCCGTTTTCCATTAAATTGGCTCAGGGTTTTGAATACTAGTAATGGCTTGTACAGTGCATACCATTTCATATATCTAAAAAAAATCTGGTTCAATCATTAAGTATGTTAATTTATATAAACTGATATGTAAACTTAACATGTTCAGACATGGACTATTGAAGACTTTAAATTGGCTTTTTAAAATAGCATCATCATTCAAGAAGCCATTTTCTGACTGGTCAGATGAAGCTGTGTCATACCATCTCTGAACATTCCTTCAGCAACAGAAAATGTTGTCCTGCGATCTGGATAGTCCTGCAGGTAAATCTTTACATTAACAGGTCCAAGAACATGTGACAGTGTGACTGACACGGTCTCTTCCACGCCCAGTCTAAATACATCTGGTGCTGCGATGAAGTAAGAGGGGCTGAAATATTAGTTATATAGTATTAGATATAGAACAGAACCCCCCCCCCTGTTGTATAGAAAAGATGTGGTTATGTTCAGTTTTTAATGTTTAAATGTTCTTTGGTAATTAAAGCATATTTTTTCTCTCACATCCACATGTTTATTTCACACACCTGCTCCTTGAAGATCTTTCAGAGAGAAATATCTGAATACAAGTAATGTAAATCTTGAAAGATTGATTTCAGTGCCAGGTTTGTACAAGAAAAATAGATCTCAACCTTTACCCTATTATAAAAAGTGAAAAGAATGACAAAATAACAATACCCACCCCCCTTCCCCACTGACACACACACACACACACACATCTGCATGAGAATTAAGAAGCGAAACAAGCTATGCCCACTTAGAGAAGGGTATATCAGGTCATGCTTATGTTTATTATTTAAAAACTTGGAAACGTATTAATAACAACTCCAAAAGATACCACAATTCAATACAAAACCAACACCTGGTGATTATAATCATAACCATTAGAACTAACTTCTCAGCTGAAACATCTCTGCACCATGTACGTAACATCAAATGTTGGCATTTTTTATCATAAAAGTATCATTACTTCAACTAACCACTATCTAAAAAATGAAGAGTATTTTTTTTAGAAATAATTATGTGCCAATTGCATATTTAATCTCGATTGAGTTAATTGCTAAATAATGATGTGGTTGGCACATGTTGATGGTTTCTTGACCAGTATAGTCATCCTGATTTGACCTTATACTTGATTTAGGCACCAAGAACATGTGTTGAACAAGTGTAAAATACATTATAACACAGAGATCTACAAAAATAGTAAACCCAACCAATGCCCTTGAATTTTGATGTTTAACAAATAACATTTGTTGAACAGCATGTAAAATCCTAGTCTAAATAATATTTTGGGTTTTTTTTAAATATAATAGCACATGGTGCTTTTAAAGAAGTCTTAAAAGATACTGTGACTCACAGTGTGCTATGTGTGTGTGTGTGTGTGTGTGTGTGTGTGTGTGTGTGTAAAACAGTTTGCATTTGTCAAGGGTTTTGTGTTGGAAAAGGTGTTTTTAATATTTACTATTGGCCTACAAACATACAACTACAGAGAACCAATGACAAGAACTTCAAATAAACATGCATGCAGTGATGAATAGTGTTATTTCCTTTTTTTTTGGTTGATAAGAACAAGTTTTTTTTTCATATTTGATATTGGACTTTAATGATTTATTTTGCTAAGAAAATTGGCAATTTTTCATTGATTTGTCTGACATTTCAATTACTTGGAATAAGCAGGCTTACTTTATGATCCTTGTATTATAAGCTTTTAGAAATGGCAAGAGTATGCCTGTTGGCTACAGATAAGATTGTACAATAGACTCAGTCTGAAACTCAGAACTGGATAGAAAATAACAGGCTATGCATATAAAAAGAATATCAAATTAACCACAGATTTTTTTTACCAAATGAAAAAAATGACAACTCACTTCAGAATTTTTCAGAATATTCAAGAGAATGAGAAAAGCATGTCTACAGTTCTGCTTATCATTAAACTTCACCTCCCTTAATTGTTGGAGAAACAAGTACTAGTAATTAAAAAAATACCCTGCATTATAGTACAAATTTATAGTCGCTAGTGCTCTGTATTGTACACAGCTTTGGCTGTTAATGCCTGACTTAAATCATCAGGGTAATTCTACTGTAATTTTGCAGTAAAATAATTGATTTGAGAATCTTCACATTGACAACCATAAGATAAAACAAGAGTATATCAATTGCTCTTGGAGAACACAAGGCAAAAGAAGATTATTCATTGAATATCAAAATAACCCTATTACAGTACTCTGCAGTGGGTCATAATGGTGGAATCTCAGAAATTTCTCAGACACTGCGATCCAGCTGGTGTGTTTTATTTCAATGCACAGTAGGAGCATGCTATCTCCTAGGAGCAATCTCGAAAACCTTCCAGATATTCAATGAAAGTCTTGTTCTAACAGCATGGTAGGTTGATTCTTACGGTTATTACTATGGAGCATATAGAACTGCATATCTATCACCCTGAGGCTCATAAGGCATAATTAGTCTTTGTTTCAAAATGACAAGATGTCCAAGCATATGATTAGTCTTTGTTTCAAAATGACAAGATGTCCAAAAAAGTTTTCAGTAGGTAGATTGTCTACCTAAGTGCTAGGATCCTAGCTAAGTGGCACATGTATTTGAATACCATCAGCACATAAAGGTATCAGACAAGAAAAAAAGTTGATTGGGAGACTAAGAGAAAAAGAGAGTGAATGATTGAGAAAATAGCCTACTGAACCCATACATATATATATTATCAGAGACCCTGGCAGTTGAACAATGCAACATGGGTTGAACATCAACATTGTCATGAGGTTTTGAAATAAAACATATCTATATTTCAAAGTTCAAACAGTGGACATTTTGTAACCCTGTGTTAAGCACAACTTATTAGATAAACCATCCATGAGGTGGTATAATAAGTCTGCTTATTTGATGCTTACTCTATGCCTGTATTCAAAAGAAACCCTGAATTTTAGAGCACTGAGGGTGACAGTCTTCTAAGCATGCATTATCTGTCACTGTTTCTGTTTACTGAAACCCAGGGGGTCAAAAACCAAATCCCATCTCCTGTACCAGGAATCCTAACTTATCTATTGGTCACCCTGAATTCCAGGGTATAGAAGGGGACTCTAAACTGTCCCCTCTCTACCAAGGTCAGGGGCGGATCCAGAGATATTTTCTGACAGTCTTCCAAATTTTCTATGTTGACCATCTTCCAACAGAAAAAATACTTACCGTCAATGTAAACTTGAAAATCTGACTGGACCTAGAAGGACCTAGAAGACGGCCTCAATCCACCCCTGAAGGTAATACTCCCTGTCACTTTGAGATTCAGGGTACTGACAATGCCTCTCCTGTTAACCAGGAAAATGTTCTCTGTCACCCTGAATTTCTAAGTACTGGAGGTGAATCTAAGGCTCTCCATCAGTCTCAGTATTAATCAGTATAATTATGCCCTGAAACTCCAGGTGCTCTTGGTTGTACTAGGGGTCTCAGACTGATGTAATTGATCTTGCCAGGTTCATCAGGTATGACTAATAGAACCCTAACATATACCCACTGGGTTAAGTCTGGATTTTAAGGGCAAACCAGGGATGAAAACATATCATTTACCTCATTTATATAAATATATTTATATATATATATGCTAGTTGGTGTAGTCTTTGAAATTTTACAATACCATTTATTACCAAATAAGTTTTAATCAATGAATCTATAACCAGGCTTAATTATGACATCCTTCCCAGTTTATGGTGATGGTAGCCACTTTTCTACGTAACAATTTGCATGTGAGTTGATTATTTTATAAAGGAAAATTTCCCATTTCTGAGTGCTCTGAAACTTGCAGTAGTTTATAACCTTAGTGACAAGGATGGCATCCACTGGAACATAAAACAGACTGCATAACTTTGGACACTTTGGGACCAAAAAATTTTTCAAGATACACCAAGATAAAAGTTAAGAAATATTCATATTAATTGTGGGAGATGTCAAAGAAAAAGTTATATGAGATTTGTTTACAATAAATATCTATGATTTGTGATATAAAGTGGTGCATTAGGGCCTACGTGTAGTCTGTGTAATGTTACATTCACTTGCCTCTGTTGCCCTTGTCCATAGCACCATCCTAGAACCAACAGCAGTATTTGTAGTAACATCTTCAGTTTCTGAAAAACAATAAACACTGTGCAAAATCAACCATAAATTCTGGAAATCAGAGGAAAAGAACTATTAACCTGCCAGCAGAAACATTCAGTCAAAATAAATTGCATAACAAGTGCTTTATGTGCACGCCCATTCTAAACAAACTGTAGTATGAAAAAGTAAGACTGCTCACACAATACACACAAATATGTCCTGTTCACTTAAAATATGGTTTATCAGTCAATGACCTGTGCTGCTGAAATTTGGCTTTGTTTGATATTTTACATACTGGTTTGCCTTTGCATTAGGAAGTCTCTAGATTGGCCTTAGAATATATTACTTGTGGCTGACGCATCAACAAGGTGAAGCAAACAAGAATCAAAATCAAGCCAAATTTCCTGACGAACTATCAAAACAATGTGGTTTCTGGATGCACCAAGTTACTGAGCACATCCTATGTAATCTCTTGTGTAATTGCCCCATTAGTCCCATTAAGATACATCTGTATCTCAGCAGTAACATGTGCTTTGGTTTTTTGTTTTTTTTTTTTCTTGAGAAGACATTATCCCAAGCCCCTACTTTTCTTGCCAACATTCACACCTTTTGCACACTTTAGAAGATTGATTAACTATCAGTGTTTAAACTGACTCAGCAGAACCAGGGTGCAGCTTTACTTCTTGTCTACTAGCTATAGTCAAGGCTAAGTGGGCTTCTGCTCCAGTGAGAGCTTGTCAGAAACTTACTGAACGCAAAAGCCGATCAGAATTCTTTTTTATAAAAAAAAATTTTCTTTGCTTAATTTGGTGAGAGGCAAAAAAATCCTGCATATTACATTTTTGAATGTTGTTTTTGTCTATTTATTTATTTATTTATTTATTTATTTATTTATTTATTTATTTGTTAATTAAATTATTCATTTATTAAATTAATTTTTTATGTATTTCTTGTTTTAAAGATTTTCATGCACTAAAAAACCTGTGAATAATATTCATTGCATGGCACCCTGAGTCTTTGTATACTGCCTGTGACTTTCCTCCACCAAGCAAATACTATGGCCATGACATAGGGGTGTGGGAAAATCAGGGTGCATCTTAGCATCTGTGCATGGGCATGAGAGCTATTTCCAGTATTGCCAGTAAAGATCAAATCAGTCCCAGTTTGTTTTAGAAAACTGGGGTGGTCGGCGGCATTTCCTCCAACATTTTTATGTCTTTATTTAAGCATGTTCTCCAATAGGAAATGTCTACACCTGCTTTATTGCCACAATTTGTTATACCAGTACATTATAGGACACATTTTCAGAAAAATACATTAAAAATGTCATGTGCAAGTTTCATTTGGCATGTTCTTTCATTGTACACAGTTCATTGAAGCAAGGAATTTTTGAACATTTTTTCCTGCAAAAGTGGTATGTTTGGTATACTGCCTAAAGAGCATTTTGCTTTAACAACTACATGTTCAAAGCTTACAGAAGACAAATTGTAAAATTCTATAGACATATTACTTACCACTCATTCAAAATACCTGATTTTGGCTGCAGTATCCTTTTCAAAAAAATCTTGATATAATTGTCTTTTATGAAGTATCCCTCTCTTTTGTACTGTCAACTTAAACAATGCTACTCCACAAATAATCTCATGAACACAACTTTTTCATACAGCTGTCGAAACTGAATATCCCTTTTTTATTGTTTATATCCTTGTTCCAGTACTTCAGAATCTAATTATAACCACACACTAGATCAAACCAGATGTCCAAAGCTGCTCCGGTTCCTGGTTCAGTTCCTTATTAAATGTTGGTGGTTTCCTTTGTAAGCAGAACCATTATTCAATTGAGTTCTTGATAATGATGATATCCTGCTGTTAATTTCATATGCTCTCTATCTGCTTTTTTTATCGTAGAACATACAGCAAAGATATGCTATACTTGACTTCTAATATCATGCCATCATCTTTGAGTGGCGCATGCCTATTACTGCTTTTGCTGAAATATCTTCACACTTTCACTTCATGCGCATTAAGTATAGATTGATTAAGGTTTCACTGTATCTAACAGGCTTATACCTACGCAAAAATAACCTGCCTTGGGGTCTGAGTCTTGATGGTAAGCACACACACCATGCGCCAGGAGGCAATCTGTTCTGATGGTGCTTTAAGTTTCAGCAGACTGAATTGACGTTTCTGTATACATGATCCAACCCAACAAATGTCTCTGAACTGGTTGTGTGAAAAACATGTCATGTAGTTACAGCATATGAGGCATGTTAATTACATCATGTCAAGCCAGGTTCAAAGCATGGTCATGAAATCAACCATGATAACTTGAAATCAATATTAATATGGCCAAAGCTGAAATTATCATAATGACCAAAAAAAAATATATATAAGGCTCTGGAGCAGTGTTGAGTGTACTGTCCCCACTATGTACAGTATAACATGCACATTGAAAAGCTTAATTCTGCAAGCCATTAAAATGCCTTTATTTTTGTCCATGAGTGCATTCAGAACCAATTGATCCACAGACTAACTAGTCAACAGATCAATTATGGTGCAACCCACTTGAAAGCATGCCGAGATTTAATTGCTATGCTCCTGATGGGACATAGTGGGTGGAAGGCATTGGAATCCATTGTCGAGTGCACGCCATATTTGATCCTAGGACTGGTAGGTCCGTGGATCAACTTAGTTGTGAATGTGGCTCATTTGGGCTTAATATCCAGATGTTCCAGAAAAGCTGCTAGGAAAACAGATTAATATGGTATTTAAATTCTCCATGTGGTGAAAGTGATCCTGCAAAGAAAACAGATTAAAGTTGAATGCAATATATTACAAAAACATAAATGTGTTGTGAAGATGCATGAGTTCTGAGGGCCCATTCCCCACAAATCTATTGTTCCACATAGATCTATTCAACTCTGTGAAACTCATGCTGTATGCAATCAGATAAACAGATCCAAATGCCTTGTCTTGGCATCGAGTAGAATATAGAAAAGGTGGTGATTATATGACTATGTAGGAAACAAGAGGGGCATGTTAATCTATTAATCTGATTGCATTGAGTGAGAGCCCCCGTGGATCGAGTTGAATCGATCTATGCAGAACGATAGCTTCATTGGGAATGGGATAACTTCATTGGGAATGGGACTTTAGGTTTGCAAAACTTAATGTTGCAAGGAATCAAAGAACGATCTACATGTTTTACTTATAATTATTTTCCCAAAAGCAAATGAAATTCATTTGAATTTCTATAACAAAACAACTTTTTACACTTAATAATTGAGATAAACTTGCAGATATGTTATCCTTTTTTCATTCCGATTTCTTCCCAATTTTCATAACAGGTCTTAGGTGTTATCATGTACATGTGATCAGCTCTTGTGATGGATAGTATGATAAATTTCACCTGTCTTTTCAAATCAATTTTGATATACACTCTACCTCTCCAAAATAAATAAATTAATTAATCAATTAATTAAATCAATTAATTTATTTAAAAAAGAAAAGGTCAAATTATAAAAAAGAAACAATTTTTTCACTTCAACCTTCTTTTTTTATTCCTTTTCTTGGGGGTTGGGGAGATCAAATACCTATCCAAACCCACTCAACCTCTTAAAAAAAAATTAAGTTATTGATGCATATAAATGGATTTTGGTTAGAGGCACAGAAACATCATGCAGTTTTCCCTGTAGTCACAAGCTATGACATCACATAGTTACACCTCCTGAGTACAGGCCAGTCCAGACTATCATAAATACTATTACAACCAGCTGGAGCTTAGAGGTCTGTAACCAAACACTGAAACAATGTAAACTACTGGCAGGATTGGAATAATACAAAACCACATGTTGCTCAACCTTGAACAAGGAAGTGTATTTCTGCTCCACAAAGTGTATATTTTGGGTGGTGTTTTCCGGTAATCTATAAATTCTGGGTCCTGAATGGTTCCATCAATTCCTTTTCCTGTTGTACACTCCCTTTTATTTTATTAAATTTCAGGACAAAATTACTGCACAGCAACAGAAAAGTTTATCAACTTCTAAAAAGTGCCTAAACCATACCACTTGATGATAAAAATAGTCAAGGTCAAAATTTTTTTGTAACTTAGTTACACTGTCTCCAAGAGGATAAAAGATGCAAAAATGACTGGAAAACAGATGAAAAATCCATGCTCATGGGGGAGATTAAAAGAAAAGTAGATAACAGCTCTGACACCAGCCGATCCCCAATGCCATTAGCGCCAGACAAAACCAATACCAATTATGCACGCCAAGCTGATTATCAATTTCTCTGTCAACTCCAGTAAATGTGTTAAGGATCAAATGCAGAATAATTGAATAACATATCCCAGACGGCTCAGCAGAAATAATTGCTTCTATTATCACTTACTGGAGGATCTAAGAAAGATTTTAAGGATTGATTTAGGAAAATAATAAACACAGGGCATTATGAAAGCAGGGAATGAAAATAACAATATGTGATAACATTATCTGCATTGACATTGTTGTGAAGAATACGAAGAGGGTTACTGTGGTAATTATAGAGTGTTATTTTTTAGGTAACATAAGCCATACTTTCATGGGCATATGACATTCTGATGTTTTTGTTTTCAGATTCTAGTTTTGTTTTATGTTCCTCTTTAAAACATCCCAGGTCACATCCAAACACAATCATCCCTGTGGCGACTTGTGCAAATCTTATTTTATGGATTATTCACGCTGAATCATTTTGTGACTCAAATTATTAAGGTAGAGTTAGATACTTGACTGTACATGCAACTGCTTGTCTATTTAAGAATAATAAATAAATAGATGAACAAATGAACATAAATAAACAAAATAAGAAAAATAAAATCAAAGAATAAATTTCTTTTCAAAAATCCTTCTGTAACTCTGCAATTTAAATTTAAAACTGAAGAAGAAAAGCACAGAGAAGTAATGGTGTTAGTGTTTTCCTTCTTTGATACTTGTTTCATTTAACTTTTTTAACTGCACTACTGATGTATGACTCATCCTTAACAAAGTCGTCAAATTATGCATTCTTTATTGTTTGCAAAATATTATGACAGAACAGTCACTAACTTACCATGACCATATCAATTTTAATTGGCACACATCTTTGTACTCATATTTTGATAATAATAAGAAAAATTCTAAACAAGAATATACATGTATTTACAAATTCATATATTCAATTGCGTTTCACTATGCTTCTGCTCAACTCTATCAAAATATCCTTTGTAGTCATTCTGTTGCAAATAATGTCATCTTTACTCTGCTCAACTTGCAATTTTCAAAGGTGCTTTATAAAATTTAACTAAGAACAATATGGATGTGAAAAGTTAAATTGCCCAATACCAACTTTTCAACAACTTTCAGACTGTTGAGAAAATTTTCAAATGATCTTATACAAAATGATCAATATGTACAGGTAGCTTAAAAATTACAATAAAAATATTTTTAAAAATATTTGGGGAAAATTAGAAATCATCTTAAATAATAAAATTGTTATAAATATGTACATACTGCATTATTAAAATCACAATAGACCCAATTAAAAAGTTAAATTAAATAATTATTTTTTCTAAAATCATTATAAAAAATCAATGCAAAACTCTAACCATAAGGTTGCCATAGGAACCATCCCATTCATTAGTATTTGCTTTTCTATTAGTTATCTAAAATTTCCAGTTAAACTGGAATGAAAATAGCTCAAGTAAAATCACACTTGAACTGGTGACAAAATTGATTGTAAAACCTCAAACTTTTGGTTTTCACTTTTTAAACATAAATTATAAGTATTATTAATATTATTATAAACAAAAAAAATCTATTCCCTGAATATAAAACCAACACAATGCATTGTATGGATTAAAATGATGTTTTGTTAATTTTTAGTACATTAATATTATGACTTAAATATTTGTTAGCAGTGGTATCTGACATCTTAAACTCAGAGGTTCAAATTGGCTGAAGTGGCAAGAATCTTGTAGGAACCAAACAAAATCAGAAATTTTATTTCTGTTGCCAGCAATTTTAAGGGGGGTTCCTTTCTGAAAAAAAGTTGACCCAATGTGAAAGAAATGGCATAGAATATACATCAAAATTTCTATTTCCAATTAAAAGGGCAGTACTATGTAACCCTGCCAACCCGCAACCTGCTGCCTACAGGCAAGTTTTGATACAGTGTTTTGAGGTTGACATTGGACATAATGGAACAAAATTGAAAATGTGATCAAAATATTTTTTGATGGAGTATTTCATGCCAAGAATTTTCACCCTGTGCATTTTAAGTATAAAATATACATCAAAAGATATCACAGAACACCTTTTAATAGCATGTGTAAAAATGATGAAAATGTTTTCCATAATGGCAGTTTCTTTGGCAAAATGACACAGGCATGTACTGGTACATACAATGTATGAATGCAACAGAGTAATACATCCAATTCAACAGAAATCATATATTCAAAAACACTTGTAAAGATAGTCACAATACAGATACTAAATGTCATGTTTTGCACATTCAGCCACATTATAATTCTACTTCCCTTCATTTGATGAAAAAAGAAAATTTCATGTCTTTTAACCTTACACTGTTCACTCAATCAGGATTTTCACGCTTGAAATTTTCTATGCAAATAACTCTGAGCTTCTTTGAATGCAGGAAATGATAGTATTTACTCAACATTTTTGAGCATTTAACTTATTATATATCATTTCTTTATCATTTTTGTTATACACACAAATGCAAATAAGAACCCAAATATTTTTTCAAATTCTTGAATACTTTTTCAAGATTTTAGTATTCCTTGGGTTATTTTTTCCAAGACATTTGTAACAAATTATATACCACAATTTTGTTCTCGCATGAAATGAGACCTTTGACAAAAAAATAAAATAAAATAAAAATCCCACTTAGAATATCCATGTTTATCCATCTTTTACTATCAATTCCTTTCAAATATTATCTTTATGTCACAACAGAAGTGATATTTCCTCAGTGACCCTGTATAAGTATTAATATTATGACAAATACATATGTGATCAGTAATATCAAACTTGGTAGATATAAATCACCTTTACATATTCTGCACGTAAGGCAAGTACAATTTCTTCACAGAATCTCTGTGTCTAAGAGATATGTTATCTACCCTCTGATGAAGAATAAAATGGGCATAGTCCCTTCTCTGGTCAACCTCAAGGACACCCAACGGAGGCTCATAGTCGACTGGAACCCTTTTATTTTGGGATTGCACAACCTTCACCTTGGCTGGTTTAGTTTTTGGGCGTACTGCTTTCTCCAGGGACTGGTCTCCTTGCGATTTCACAGTCATCTGATGCCATGTTTTTGCTCGTTCTAGCTGCTTACAGAAGTCTGTGCCGAGTTCAGATTTGCTGAAAATGTTATAATGATAGCATGTTTAGAATAAAATGGAGGGTATTTATCCATCAATTACCTTAGTCAAAGTGCAATGTCTTATTTTCAGAAAATTCAATAAAAATGTAAAAAAAAAAAAAAATTGGACAGTAACTTGAACATTGGAGTAAAATAAATACCTTCTAGCCAATCTCATTTTTTCCTTCATTTCGTCAGTGTTTTCCACATTACATGCCCATGGAGTGCTCATGTGAAGCTGTAATAGAAACAGGTCATCAGTATAAATGGAAAACCTTTTGTCTACTCAAAATAAATTTAAAAAAAATCACCATGAATTTAAGTTTGTACCTCCTAAGGGTTCTAACTTATATTGAATATATGGTAAAAAAAAAATGGGAAAAGGTAAAGAAGTTAAAAATATAAAGCTCAAATTATATTTATATAACAAAAAGTAATTTTCATTTTTTGACATAAAAAATTGTATCAAATGGTAAAAGGATTTGAAAAAGATACATCCAAAATTTTTTGGAGCATTGCTTTTCTAAAACAAATTAGTCCTTTCATTAATGATAATATTATACTAACAATTACTATATGATATTAAACAGCCATGCAAACTGTCTATCTATAACTGGGCATGCAAATCACTACCAGGTATAGGCTAACACTTTGCAAACATAAAATAATGAATTATATATTGATACATGTCATTCCCCCTCTCGAACCCCCAACATAATCCACCTAACAACAGGCAAATCATTCAGTTGTTGTTAAAAAATGTCCTTACTGACATATCTTGGTCCTCAGTAATAACAGACAGGCCTCAGCTGACACATCACTAATGTAAGCTTATTTGACACAAGTCACCAGTTTGTTTACTGACACAAGTCACTATAGGCTTAACAACCAATGTAAGTCACTAAGAGCCCATTCCCATATATAACATTGGTTTATGTAGATCAATCCAACTCTGCAGAGACTCTCACTGAGCACAATCTGCTTTACTGAATGACACACCTCTTCCTGGTATTACGTAAACAGACTACAGAATAGCTGGTGATTATATGAGTATGTTGGAAACAAGCTGAGGTGTGTCATTCAGTTAAGCTGATTGCACTCAGCAAGAGTTCCCACAGAGTTGTATTAATATACATGTAGACTGACAGTGTTTAAGGGAATGGGGTCTAAGTTACATGATCACTGACAAAAGAAATTACAAGTTTTACAGGCACAATATTCACTAGGCTTAATACTGACAAAAGAAGCCACAAAGTTTACAATACAAATGTACACAATTTTAGTGAATAATATCAAAGAAATGGTCAAGGACCGCAATTAAAACAGTACATTGCTAAATAATGGCCATTATTTTGGAGGTCTTGCCTTGCTTAAAGCATCATAACACTTCCATGCTAAGTAAATAACTGATGCACACATGCTGTAGGGCTTTTCAATATTTGACATAAGCTGAAAGACAATTGTTCACTGCAAATTTCTCTACAAAAAGCAAACTAATTTTTTTTTCCTGGAACAAAAAATAAAGAAAAAAAAACAGTACCACTTTGCACTGAATTTATGTCATGTGAAAACAACCAAAAGCCTAACACTAGCCTTACAGCTGCAGTAAAATATGCAATATAATACAAGCCTGCCTCAATTGGGTGGGTGGGTGGGTGGGTGGGGGTGGGAGGGGGGAGAAAATTCAGTAAAAAATGTTGGGTAATGAGGCATGATTGAAAAATTTTCAATAAAAAGGGGGGGGGGGGCACAATAAGCTTACAACATCATATTTGTTTTACAATGGATTTATAACAATCTTACCATGATCACTCTTACTGATCTCGGCTGCAAAGATGAAATTATTCAGATCTTATGTCAAGGATAGTGCATGATAGTGCAAAATACCTTTAATACTGTAGTTTAGGAGATTTTTGAAAGGTAAATGCTGAAAGCCCCTGGTGGCTATATTTAACAGCAATTTCTCAGTATTTACTGTTACAAGCTTGCTTGGTGAACTTGGCAAGAAAATGACAATGAAACTTGAAAGTTCTGTAGGATTATCATTTCATGTTACAAATTATTAAAAGAAATTAAAAATGATAACTCAAGCATTCAATGCCATGTTTTTGCAACTTACAGTATTTCTTGGCAGAATCATCGGGGTAAGTGTTGGAAGTCTAATAGATTCTGAACTAGCAGCACCAGAAACCTGAAAATCAAAATGAAAATTACTTGAAAAAACATTAAAATATGCCTCTAAAACCTCTCACAAACATCTGACTTTTTTCTTAATACATATTAACGTTGACATTGTCTTTTAGTGCAGATGTGTTTTCTACATCTTGAACACTCTACAGCTTAATCAGATAAAAGTTTTGCACAGAAATTAACATACACCATCACATATTTACTACAAAACACATTAAGCTTATTCATAGTGAGAGAACCATAACTGGTCAAATAATTCCAAAACTAACACCATGCTTCGTTTTCACTCCACATATTTCTTTGGCGTGGGGTTCAGGGCTGTTTAAGGGCCCTAAAAATTTTGGTAATTTAAAGGGCGAACATTGTCATATGGTATCGTTTAGAACAATGATTCAGCTAGTCAAAATTCTAATTTCAAGAGGGAACCATTGTGGTGATTTTTTCAGAAATTGAAGGGAAGGTCAGGACCCCCTTGACACCCCCACAAAATCTGCCACTGCACAGAGTCCTATAGGTTGTCCTATACCGGGTAGGTGATTTTTATAACGGGTGCCTTTAGGTTATTTACCAATTGACATTCCCTGATTTTAGACTAATTTACCTTTGATGATCCCTCTGTCCCCAGTAATGCCACATCCAACTTGTGCATCAAGACAGGGCTCTTGTAGGTGGAGATGGCCAGGAAAAACTTCAGAAAGGCATCCAGAAGTTTTCTGAAATAGAAAATTTAATTTTGCATCGTAAATGTAAATACACTGCACTAATAAATTCAAACTCTTTTATATATGGAAATAAATTATGAAAATGTTTTACAAAAAATTTGAAGATAGAATAAACATGTGTATACCATGTGGAAAAATTATATGCAGGGTTTCACTCCAATGATATTCATTTCCTCCAGGAAATTGCTTTGGGGCAAATACCGGTAATTCCCAAGCTGGTTGGAAGATGAAATCATTTTGATACGAGATTCCAGGAATTTATCATCCAGTGGTTTTCAACTAACCTATTTGAAGAGGTTCCATTGAACGCCAGCAGCATTCCCACCTGGTGAAGACCAATGCTGCCTAGCAACGCTTTGCTCTTTGGATTTAACCATAGGGGGCGCACAGATAGGTCAGACACTTTCAGTTGAAGCTCTGGTGCATGCTTAGTTATGGCAAGCTGAAATAGGTAAAAAATTCTATAAAAATATCCTTTAATATTTTATGATTTGGAATGAAATTGGACGTTACAAGTTTAAACATTATGTTAATTCAAAATTCAATTTCTATCAAATCAAAATTTTCGTGAAAATATTTCTTAAAGTTCTTAAAACTATATTTGTTACTCACCATGTCAATTATATGTGACACGTTCTTCTGTGAGACAGGAAGGAACTCGTACAGAGTGTGAAGGCAGACGACATTGCCACCCATTTCTGAAAATTAAAAAAAAAAAGAAAAAAATAGGCTTAAATATCAGGATTACTGAGCATATAATTGCTGAAAGAAATTTGGAAATTACGTTAGAAATACTTTAATTATCATCAGGTCTATAGACAGCAATTTCAAAAGGGGGGGAGGCATAATTTATCTGAGAAAATGGGAGTCCAAGGATAATTTTTACCTTTAGTTCTCCCAACTTGAGAAATGGCATTAAATTGAGTGGAAGTTTTGATTCAGAGCTGACCTCAGCTGTTCGTTTGAACCCCTGAAGCCCCTGTCTAAAGCCTGATCATCACACATTAACTCAAGAAAATTTATCCTTAAATAAGTTACCTGATACAGCCCTTAATGTAATAAATGCAGACATGAGAAGCTCATCTAAGCTTGCATGAGGGAAAACCACATATGGATCCTTCAGAAGAGAACCTCTGGGCTGAAAGTGAAACCCTAAATAGTGCAGCAGGTCCAGACCCCCCTTGCTGGAGACAATAACTTCAGAGAGGACTGATATCTTTTGGTCCTTTTCATCTGTATGGATCCTCTTCAGCGCATCATCCAGCTGGAATGAAATAGATAATAATTATGATGAGCAGGTATATTATTATAATGGTCATGTAAGACCACCTTTTTTATCCATATTATTATGAAGCTTTGCAGGATATTTACACAAAAAATATGGCTTTGGATCATTTTCAAATGTGTAGATCGAGTCTTTACAGGTTTAAGTACACACAGCACTGCAAATTATATTTCAACGTGCTGTTTCAACATGTGTTCACAAGGCATGATTGCAGCTAATACAAATAGGCATTGTTTAGAAAGAGAAAACTGTATATCATCAATATTACCAAGTCTATGAGATGTTCCACCACTTGAGGTTGTTTACCATGGTGACACAGCAGGGGTAACAGCTTCTCTTGGAGTGTTTGCATATTTTCCTCTTTCTCTGCAACTGTTAAGGAAAAGATTGAATAAATGAAAACCTATAATTTTTACAAACTTATGTTATGCTTTATTACATTACATGTATAATAAGTAATACTCCTCCATTCCAGACTCAGATCTCTAACATACATGTCCATGTACAGTAGTGCATCAAGTAAGCTGTATTATGACAAAGTATGTTAAATAATTATTTAAAACTAACCAACACCGAACTACTTATCAAAAGAATCTACATGTATTAACCTTCCACTGGCATATATTGTCACCTTACTCTACAGTGCATCCTTAATGTCTTTGATAATCAGTATTTTCAAACATACATGTGTATCAGAAGACTCCATACATACCATTGGGTGTCAGAGGTTTGGGATTCAAGACGTCTTTCTTCAGATTTTGCAGCACCTCTTTCTCCACTTTGTCCACCTTCTGGTGCAACATGGCCTCATGGACGTGGTGGAGGCTGACATGGCCATCTTTCCCGACCAGTGTGAATGGTGCCCAGTACGATATATCACTGGAAAATAATTATAAAAATAATTACAATCCCTTGTACCATATCCAGTCTCTTTTGTTTGTTATATTTTTCTTGTAATTTTTTTCTCCTTTGGGAGACCAGGGTCTAATGATTTACTGACCTAAAGCAGAAACTGTGGCCAATAATAACATGATTTTTGCTGGTCTGGTGTCAGTTGAAATGGCATTGGTGTGGGGCAAGTAATAATGTCACCAACTGCATTGAATTCCTCACTAATCAACCCTTTGTCTTTTAAAATTAAAATCACTGTGACAATTTCATGATCTTGATAAAAACTGGGCTGTCCTAATGAACCAGTGCAAGCAATGCTCATCAACAACAGTGATTAAAAACAATATCTTAAGAATAGACATTATCTTATGTATTGCAAATGTATACTCATGTACATAATAATATTTTGCATACTGCCAACATATGCACTCCTGCCAGTACTGCAGTGATATAAAAATGTTGAAGTAAGAATTTTTATCTTTTCCTAAGCACATGTCTACAGCATATTATGATGTATACCTTTTTTCCTTTTTAACTTCCTCTACTGCTGTATTGACAGCTGTAGACAGTAGACAGCCTGTCTGTAGAGCCGAGTAGAAATGATAGTAGAATTTCTCTAACACATGGTTTGGCACACTCCACAGTAAGGTGAGGACACAATGGGCTCCTGTAATGAAGAGAACATTAGAACAATCTGAATGCTGTTTGCTTTAATTTCATTCCACAGTGCAATAACCATCCTTAAAATATTTTTTCATCCATAACACACGGTATCCCATGAATGAAAAAAAAGAATTTTTTAAATGACACAGCAGGTTGCAAAGAAAAATACACATATTAAAAACTTTCAAGGCATCTCCATCTCTTTGAACTTTAGCTACACATGGCATGATGGCAGCCATGAAGCCACTACAGCATACGTAGTAACATATTAGGACTTATCAAACTAGATTGGACAGTAAAGTGTACCACTCGATCGAAAAGAAGGGCCAAAAACTCAGACCACCTCTATACCGGTGTTGTTGGAGTGGAATTATATACCTGCAGCTAGCAGAGCACTGGGCAATGCCATCCCCACATCTACATAGTCTCTGCTGTGAGAGGACCATCCACAGCTCAGCACCACCAGCTTAGCACACATGGTGCAGTTCATGATGTCCTCAGTGGTGACAAGGTAAGAGGACTCTTTGGGGACACCGCCAGCACCACCGGTGTCCTCTCTGGCCGGGTTAGGGCTGAATACCAAGAATCCTTCTTTAAGGCATCCAAAGGTGGCTGGAAGTTGTGGTGAAAGGCTGAATAATGTATTGATCAGCTTTTCTACTTTATAGTTTTAGACTACAAATAATAACAAGAGAGACAGAGTTTTTTTTTTCTTTTTTCTTTCTTTTCTGGATCTAAAATTAATTTCTGCACACATTTACCAAAAGTTAAACAATGCAGTCTAGCTTTCAGCAGAAAGCAGAAAAAAGAATTTATCAAATATCACTAAAAATGAGGTAGTATTTGTAAAAGATAACTACCAATATGCAAAACTGTTGCTGTCTGCATCTCTTTCAGAAATCTCTCTTTGGTGGCCTCTTCCCCTGATATGGTGATAACATCGCAGTAATCAGCCACAGCATACGCCTCCTTCTGTGCCTCAGACAGCTCAAATGGGGGCTGCCATTCTTTGCCGTTTAGCTGCAGACTGGAACAAAAGAATATGAATTGTTAAGAACAGAACAGCATTATCATGAAAAGTCAAAGAGAAAAGGATGAAAATATTTGTTATTTATTTATATCTATGCCTAAAATATGTTTTATGGAATTACTGAAAGAAACCAAATCATATTCATCCATAAAATAGGAGAAAAAAGTACCAAATAATTCTATTAAAAAAGATAAAAACTTTCACTTTGGTTTAAAAATAATTCATATTTCCACTTACCGATCAGGTAACTTGGGGTTCCCAAAAACCACACACCTGTCTGTGTCACTTATCTGTTGAAACTCTGGGACCCAGTCTGTGGAACTAACTATGTCCGTTCCAGTTGAAGTCCTCGTTGTCAACGTTGTCAATGACCCTGCATGGAGCATCCTATCCAGGGATGTTGGGGCACCAATGGTCTTTATTGCCTTCAGGTTGGGGGTGAGGGGAGGAGACGGAAGAGCTGTAGACTTACTGGCCATGGATAGGAAAGTACTCTCCCTTGAGAAAGCCGGCAGACTGGTGCTTGGAGTCATGGGAGGAGGGATAAGAGCTCCAGATTTGAGCAAACGGGGATTAGATGTCCTTCGTGGATCTATGCAGTCAAGATCAGCACCACTGTTATACCCATTGCTTGTCCCCAGCAAAAGGTGAAGGTCACGGTTCGATCGTGAGATCTCCTCCTCTGTGAGAAGACGACTCATTCCACCGAGGCACGATTTGGCACGTTCAAATTCCAGTTCGTCCTGAGATCTGAGACTGTCAATGACATTCTGTGTGACTTTCTCAAGGACCATCAGACTTGGCACGATTGTGAAGCTGTATTTTTTGGAAACCTGGACGTTGCTCCAGTCTTCCAGGATGGGGAAGGGGCATTGGTAAAGCTCCTTATCAGGAATGATCACAATGGAGCTGCCCGTCTCTAACTCTGACAAAATATCTGCCACTGGAGACAGCAGCATGTCAAATAACCTCCTTTGTGGAGATTTTACAAGTGTTTTATTTCTTGAAGGAAATACATCCTCCTCTTTGGGTTCAGACAGGGCACTGCCCTTTTCAGGTACTTTACCATGCTCTTCCTTGTGTGAGGTTTGATCACGGGATTTCTTTTCATTAGCTTGCCTCTTCAGGCTCAGTTCTGTTGTCTTCAAAGGCAAAGCCCTGTTTTCACACTCATATTGCTGCTGCTCAAAGTCTCTCCCTTTACTGCACAATTCCTCACACAGTCCCTTAATCAGCTGGTTGAAGGTTACATCCTTGCTAGGGGGCCTAGTGGAGTAAAACCGAACCAAACCCTTACCTGGTTGAAGGACCCATATTAATAAGCTGCCTGGAAGAACCGTGTAGTATAATACTGTGGCATTCTGTTCATTGACCACCCTTGTGATTTTCTCTATGGTCCACATGTCGAGATTGGCCCCATGGACATTGGTCATTCTGGACAGACACCTGGATGTAAGGGGGTTGTGGTTCTTGACTGACAGAAGCTTCATCTTTTTGTGACACTCAGAATACTGGAGACATTCATCCTTGACACCAAGTTTGCAAAGCACATTCTGCATGCCATCGTAACACTGAGAAAGCTGAGATCGCATCTCGTCCAAGCCACTCATTTCTTCGTCCATCATTTGCTGTGCCTTGTCTTCAAACCCTGGAATGAGTCTTTCGAAATATTTCCTCGCCTGCTCCAACTCTGAGTGCTGTGTAGAGTGCTGAAGAATCAAGGCCGAGTTGAACTCAATGTCTGTTGTAAATTCCTCAAAATCAAAATCACTCACGATCTGTTGTGCCTCTTCGTAGTAAAACAAGGCATATTGGTGGCGCTTCTTCAATTGAAAGGCTTTTGCTAGCTTGCAACACGCTTTGCAGCGCTCCTTTAGATTTTTTAGCACATTTTTATGCATTTCCTCATAGGCAGTCACAGCATGATCATAATCCCCCTTGTCCATGTATGTGTCACCTAGCAACTCAGTGGCCAAGGCGATGACCTTTGAGTTCTTGAGCTTCCTCCCAATGGCCAAGTGTTGCTCATGGTATGTTATCGCAAGCTGCCAGTTGTGCAACTCAGCAGAACATCTTCCCAGCAGGCCATAGGCATGCCCAACACCCTTACGGTCCCCCTGCTTTTTACTGATTGCTAAATAGGTCTTAAAGTGCTTAGTGGCTTCGTCATAATTCTGTAGCATTTCGTACAGCATGCCTACGTGGTAGTGTGACTCTGCCTCTTCACCAATGTCATGCCCATGTTTGTTGACCAGTGCCACATAATGTTCTGCATGAAAGAGAGCTTGTTTTAGCTTGCCGATGCTCTTGTAGGCAATGCTCAGGTTAAGATACAGTGCAACCTGTAACTCTGGAGTCCAATACTCCGGCAGATCTCCACCATCCTTCCTAGAATTGTGATAGGGACTCTGTCACTAACTCATTTTACTTTTATCTAAAACTTTTTTCGAAATTAATATTTTTAAAGTCCTTATTGCAAACACTTTTTAAATATTGGTGAATTTTTTTTTTTTTAAGTATATGTATTTTAAGTATGCATGAACTTAAATATGTAATAATTGTAAATGACAATTTCAAACACAACTATAACAGTACAAAATTGCACACATAACTTTCTAGAATTAAAGAGTATAAAAAAATCCCAAACAGTTGCAGCCAATACCAGTACATACAAAACCTCATCAAAAATAATAAGTAGAATTTTGTCAAGCAATTATAAAAGCTGTATCATAAATTAAATACCTCTGATTTTCCCCACTGCCACGGAGCTCTGTTTCCAGGTCCAGCAGCCTCTCATAGTAAATAATGGCTTGGTGGATATCCTCTGAATCCATGGACAGACTGGCCAAGTTCACTAGAGCCTTGGTTTGATACTGAGGGTCATGTGCGGAGAGGGCCACAGTCAAGCAGTCTTGATACAGGGAGATGGCGATGTCTGTGCATTTGAGAGCTGACTGCGCATTGGCCATTGTGAAGAGGATCTTCATTTGAATACCTGAAAAGAAAATTATATTTTAATTGTGCACACTTGTGGACATTGACGGAAAAATCACTTCACACAGCTTGGTAATTGTGATTATTATCCAAAATAGATTACATATTTTTCTTTATTCTAGCTGCTTCTCATTCTTGCTCATGACACTTCATTATGAAATCTGTGTTGGGCCTTTTACAAATATCTTATTCATTCATATAGTCTTAAAAGTATTCATTTTGTAAGACTTCAGAAAAACTTAATGAGAAGTTAAAGTTGAAGTTTATACAGATTTGTGTAACATTAATCTGAGGTTAACACAATGTCTTTCTCAATATCATATGCCTCATGGCTAAGATATTCATCTGGGTCAAAATTGCACATCCAAAAACACAATACACTGTCACTCATAACACAATGTGACCATACCCTGTTGATTTGTCTCCAGTTTCTGAGCAGTTTCAAGCACCTGAATACAAAGCTCATACTTCTTTGCAAGGTACAACAGACTACCCATCTCACACAGCTTGGTGTATGGGTCCATTGCTGAGGAGATAAAAATCATGTGAATTTATAAATACTTTTCACAAACCCTCTCTGGCTAAAACTGCTGAGGTTATAAAATTTGACATAATATTAAACAGTGAATCCAATCTTAGGAGTTTTTTAAAGTATGCAAAACAATCAAAAAGTCTCTCCATAGTTTCACAATTCAAGAGGCAACACACACTTTACTTTTGAATAAATGTTGCTTTTTTAATATAACACAATAAATCAAAATTGCAATGATCCTTTGTTATTTTAAATTAAAATGGCTGTCTTTCAAATTTTAAGTAAAAATGTAACACAAATATAATAGTAATAACATGAAGAAACTATAGACCTCATGCCCATATACATAGTTTGATATTCATATTTTTCATATCTTTGGTCTATTTTTTTTCTTCTTTCTTTTTTTATAATGTACATATCACATTTTACCTTCAAACTTCTCCAGTGTCTTCAAAGGCAGCTTGCACACCCTGATGACCATGGCTGCAATATTATCAGACAGAATGTCCCCATGTTGAGAATCACAGTTCAGAGACTTCAGAAATGACCGTAGGGCAGCTTTGTGTTGACCAAGCTGCTCTAATGCAATGCCCAGTAGGTAGTGGCCCTGGAGTGAAAAATGTTCTTTGTTTATTTTCATATCAACAAAGGCTGTTAAATTATATGTTGGTGGGTAGCAAAACAGCAAACATAAGCATTAATGTAAATTGGCTTTCTGGTAACAAGAACAACCAAACAGCAATTAGCATGGCATGTGTGGCGAATCTTTTGTGTAGCCCGGAGGGGCTTGTGTTTCAGAATGTGTGATACATAATTTAAGGTGTGCCTCTGTTGCACTGACTGGTCAAATAGTTGGACTTTTAGAAAAAAGATCATTGAGGAAAAATTAATTTGGTTTTTAAAAAAGCTTGAGTAGCATGATTAATTCAATGAATTTATTTATTATATTATCTAGTAGATAACAGGAGACACCACATTAGCACTCACATGAATGGATGCACTGCTTATCACATGAAATTTTCACAAAAGACAGAAAAAAACCCAGAATACGGAGCAAATAGATTACAATGTTAAAAATGCTGAAATTCATGTAAATGTTTCTTGCTGATGACACCTTTCAAACCTAAATTAGTATAAACTAAATTACATAACTCAAATTTACCTGGGGATAGTCTTCCTGAGCCCCAATCAATATTTCAGCCTCCTTCTGTGCTGCAATGAAGTCACCAGTATCAATAAACACAGCAGTTTTACTGGCCAGCACCTCCACATTGCTCCTGTCTATCTCTAGGGCCTCGTTATACAGTGTCAGGGCCTCCTCATAGTTGCCCTCCTCAAATGCTGCATCTGCCTTGTCCTTTAAGGCATTCACCTTTTATTTAAAATAAAGTTATAATAGTATGTAACACCATGGGCCATCATTCTATTCTTCCAGTACTGGGTCAATATGTCAACTGAGTTGGTGACATCAATGGAAACTAGTTTACTTTTGTTTTTATGTTGCCTAGATAAACAATAATTAATTGTGATATTACTCAAGGCATTTAATCAACAAATACCAGACAGTGAGAACTATCATGGTTTTTAAAAATCTTTGCATAAAACATCTCCAATGTGGCCTACAGTATATTAATACATGTACCTCATTGATTTCTTCAGTCTCACTGAGAGCTGTCTCACTGCCCTCCCCAGCACTGTGAACACTGTGACGGCTCCCAGAGAACCAGGAGACTGGAGTGTGCTTGGATTTGGGCATCTTGTCTTGTCCCCTATCAGCTATTTGACAATCATTGTTTCATCAGAGGTAGGAATGTTAACAGGTTTTCATCTAAGGAAAAGAAATAAAAATAGGCATTCTTTAAGCTTAAAATACTTTAGAACATTATGCAGCTTCTCCTTAAAGGGATAATAACTCTTCGTATGAGATCTATATTTCACAATAAAAACATTGTAAACAACTCACAGATATATAATATATTCGGTTTTACCACAAAAACAGCAGTTATAGCTAATATTCTGATATCTGAACTTGTCGTCGGACCACATGACCTCCATAGATGGCTATACTCTGTAACAATCTCTAAAGAGATTATTACAAAAAAAAAAAAAAAAAAAAAAAATTAGGAAAATACCATGGACTTACTTTGAAATGGATTCATTAACCATTGGTAACTAGGGGAAACTTGTTGTTTGCTCTAGGAAAATTCATTTTTTTGGCCAAAACGAACAGTTATTATCCCTTTAACAAAAAAGTAACTGTTGTATTAGTTTAGAAAATTATAAAATAAATAAATAAATAAAATGTAGATTGGAAATAATTAAAGCAGCCTTAATGTCTCAGTTAACCTTTATATAAATTATTTGTCATATATTTCTTTAATGAGATCTTGTTTAAATTAGATAAATTAGATATAAGAGCTTTTTCCAAGCTTGTAGGTACAAATTAAGTCTGAAACGTGTATGGGCAGTAATTAAGGTAACCACACATGTTCTTTCCTAGGCCATGTTTTCTGTCAAAACACTCCTAATAACATTTTTACTGTTCCAATTTCTACTAACAGACTGTCTAGAGTCAGACCTTTAAAGGGATAATAACTCTTCGTATGAGATCTATATTTCACAATAAAACATTGTGAATAACTCATAGAAATATAATATATTCTGTTTTATCACAAAAACGGCAGTTATAGCTATTATTCTGATATTGGAGCTTGTCATGACCTCCACTGATGGCTATACTCTGTTAAAATCTCTTAAGAGATTTTAACAAAAAACTAAACTTTTTAGAAAAAAACCAGGGACTAACTTTGAATGTAAAAATGGATTCATTAACCATTGGTAAGTATGGGAAAATTGTTGTTTACTCCAGGAAAATTCATTTTTTGGCCGAAATGAAGGGTTATTATCCCTTTAAGTCCATAATTTAATTTAATATGAAAACTGCCGCAGGACTGATAAGTAGATGTCAGGATATAAAAATAACGCAAGATTTGTTTTTGGTAAATGATAATAGCCCTACACCCTACTACATGTATGATATTATGTAGGCGATATTCTGAATGGCAATATGGGATCTTTCTGAAATTTTACCAACAAAAAACGGTAAACAGACAGTTAAAAGTTTAAGCGACTTACTTTGTTTATTCAGGGAATCCTAAACTATTTCTTCGATAACTCAAAACAGGCTGTAAGTGTATTCCGTTGCTCCAAATACCCTAGATATAATAAAAGCTACGCTCGGGCACCTGTCAATACCCATCCGCCATCTTTGATTACCTTAGTGACCGCTTATAACAAATAGTGTATTGAAATGCAAATATACCCTTAAAAACCTACGTAGGGTTGTTCTTCTAAAATATTTTTAGAGTATTTTGGTCTACTTTAATATTTTGAGCATATTTATGAAACAAAATAATAAATTTTATCCAAATTGCGGACTGAAGAGGGAAATCATCCCGAATTGTGTTAGTTGAGGTCCTTGCTGTGTTATGAGAGCAAGTGAACAAAGCAAAAGTACACGAATGAAACTTCATGCAGCTAAACTCCCATTTTGGTTTTATGGAATGTTTCATATGTGCATTTCTTTTAATACATCCCCAAAAAAAAGGTAGCTGTCAGTTAATGCTGGCGATTAATTGTTTACCCAATTTTTTCTTTGTTAAATTTAATTTATTAAAGAACAATTCAGCTTTTTTAGTGTTTCTTGAAAAATCGTTTATGTTTAACAAAGACAGAAAAAGTGCAAAACTTGTCTTTCTTTTCATCTCCAACAGAATCTACAGCTAGTTGATTAAATGTGTAAAGTTAATTGGCCTGGAAAACAAAACAAAAATTAATAAATAAATGAGGTATTAAAATAAAAAAACAAATAGATTAATTAGTTTATATATCTTTTCAATATTCATAAAAAATTAAATATCAAAATTTAATTAAAAAATTAAAAAAAAAATTCCTTTAACAGATTTTTTTATTTAATTGCTTTCATCAAAACTATTAATATTATATAACTCCATGGGCTTGTCTTTTTATCAATGTTTAGCTAAAATGTACTAGGCTAGCTGTCTGCAGCAGAGGCATGAAAGATATCTGACCAACAAAAAAGAGGAAAAATGCATAATGCAGATACTGCCATTGAAACTCTGTTGTGTGTGCATGTGTGTGTGTGTGTGTGTGTGTGTGTCCGTGTGTGGGAGGGGAGGGGGGCGTATCAAATGTGCCACGCAATATAACACAGTGCATATTTGAGTTGGGGTATGGATTGATATGTAGAAGTGCTATAGAGAAATGGGAGTTCCATTCTGTTAAGTTTAGTTCGGTTCAGAGGGCAGTGTCTGCATTCAGGTGATTACCTTGATAACTAATACATTTGAACAGAGGAGGGTGGGGTAGGAGGAGCCACAGCAGGATCAAAGGCCATATGTCACAGGTAGATGATTGAGAGGTGGGCATGGTAGAAGGAGCCTGGACCGGATCATAGGGAGCATCACAGGTAGACGATTAAGAGGTGGGTGGGGTAGAAAGAGCCTAATGTGTAAAGGTCCACTGAAGGCAGGAGATAAACTCACTCATTTACATATTATGTTTATATAATCAGTCATCATTATCATTCACTTGGCTTCAGTCTTGCATGAATATTTATCATTCTCGGTATAACTAAGTAAGCTTGGAGCAAATGCATATCTGATAAGTAGAAACTACTGCATTGCAATTAGTATTTAAATCAGTTGCTGCCACTGTGGCATGCAGATAGATTCCCTGTAGATAATGTGTATAAATGCTGAATGCTTGGACTTAATAAAGGACTTTAGACTTGGAACTAAATATGGAGTTAGTGGTTATATTCCCTCTCCCATGCATCAGTGACCGGTAAAATATTAGAAGAACCTGGGTAGGGTGGAACATGGACCCCTACACTAGACAGGATCAGAGGATGGGTCACAGGTAGATGATTGAGAGGTGGGTGTGGTAGGAGGAACATGGACAGGATCATAGGGAGCATCACAGGTAGATGATTGAGAGGTGGGTGGGGTAGAAGGAGCCTGGACTGGATCATAGGATGGGTCACAGGTAGATGATTGAGAGGTGGGTGGGGGAGGAGTCAGGGGAGGAGCATAGGGCATGTCACAAGTGGATTGACAGGTGGGTGGGAATTCTGGAGAAGAAACCAGAGGTGAAGAATATGGAGGGGGTTGAGAAATGGGAGGGGCATCTCCAATATTGGGTATGTTATAAACCTGCTGTGGATACATATTAAATACAACTTGACTTCCACTTTCATTAACAGGAAGCCTTGATCCACATACTACACGCCTACAGAGAACTATAATAAGGAAAGCTATAGCTCCTTCTGTTATTCCCATTACAATTAATAGAGCGTGGATTGTATCCGGCCCTGCAATCAAGCTAGCTGGACATTCAAAATAATATACTTTATGAGCATCTGAATAATAATGTTTTCCTCCACAATATGTAGACTCCAGATTTGCCGCAAAACTTTCTATCACCACCAACATAAGTGAAGAAATGAGGGATAGTATCGTTAATGCCACAAATGTAGTCATTTTCTGACGGTTACAGTTATAACTCTTGTGTGAGACTGCAATTCCAGTGATGCCTGTTAGAAGAAAGATGAATCCTGTCCATACTCCAGTCAAGGCATGTCCATATATGATCTGTAGCGACGCAGAGACCACTCCCAAGACCAACACGCATACTCCACAAACCACCTGAAACATTTATCATCATAATCTTATTTTGTTTTTGACATTGATTTTCAATGTCTCAGTTTTGTTGTCCTCAAATAGAAAGTAAAGATAAATCATATCTAAAATATTTCAAACTTAAACATTAATTTCTGACCATGATATATACAGATTTTGATAATCAAATTATTTACTGAAGAATTAAATTACTTATTTAATTAATGCTCTATTCAGGTTTAAATTGACATCAGAAGACACTGACATACATTTCATCAATTTTCATCACACATTTAAAAAATGCCTATTATAATTCATGTTATGGTCCAGACAAACCACTGTTCCTTTACCTAGATAGAGTATTTCAAAATTTGTAAACTTTAAAAAAAAACAAAACAATTAAGCTGCAATTATCATGTGCTAGTTGTGTAAAGAGTTTGAGAGTTGATGTGCCAGAGCAACTGCTCACCAGTATAATTGCACACTTTAAGATTATACTCTTGGGCAATGTAGTAGACTCTATTCCTTGATGTGGCCCCACAACCACATTCACTGGTGGGAAGGATTGCAGCACCCCAATGCCAGGTTCACTGCTAGACGAGGACTGAAAAGAGTAAATTAGGTACTACTTGTTGAGATAGCCCTCGTGGCTAGATTTAAGGCAGATATAATGACTTGAAAAATTTGGAACAATGTCAATTCTTTAAGTGTTAATATAATATAATTAATGATCCTTATTCCAATTTCATGGGTTTAAAAGGTCATTAATTAAAGAAGTCTACTTAAAGGTTTGTCAACTAGCTAGCGTTTTGTTGGCTCACAGTAAATTGCAGTTGTGTATAAAATCGAATTATTCTAGCTTGTTCCACACTGTGATTTTAGAAAATACATAACCTGAAATTTACAAAAAAAAAAAGTTGACTAAAATGTTTTAACAGGACAAATTGTATTTCTTTGCCTCATGTTTAAATGTTTACTTTGTAGATGTTTCAAATGGAAATTGATCATAAAAAAAAATGAACATCTCAACCTGATAATAATTAAGTTCAGTTGACATATACTAACATTTTGGTAGACTGGGTATGGGGTCGACTCTTCCAACTGTTGTTTCTCTGCCATGTTTACTGTTCCCTTAATTGCACTCTTGTAACATATGATCATACAGAAGTTCACATCATGGAACCAAGTTTTTTAAAAAGCTGAAACAAATTACCGCATTTTCTAAACTTAAATTTTTCTGATTTTTGAGGGATTATTCTAAGCTGCAATCTATTTTATGATCTGGGTACCACAAATATATTATCACCAAGTTTTCTAATAATAAAAACTGATCAATAAACACACCTTTACAAGTACACGTAACCTTCAAACATGCTCATACTTATTTCATACTTTTTACAGAAGTTACACATTTCATGTAATACATGTACTTAGAAAAATATGACACAAAACAACTTTTCTACATCAATTTATTGTGTTTAAAAATGTCAATTTTTTAACCATCTTTTAGAGGTTCTCTTGGATTCTCTAAGATATTTGTAATATATACTTTATGCATTGAAGAAAAATACTTAACCAGACAAAAATCTTTTAACTTTCCACACAAAACTGTGTGTAAACTTATGGTTTACCTGGTCTGCACCTGTGACTCCCGCTAAGGCACGTCAACCATGAGTGCTGTAAAAGCATTCATTGATTTTTGAGATCTCCACAGTTGTTGCTGTTTGGTTAAGACCAATATGACAGGGAGCGGATATTCTAGCATGGATTACAGAGTCCTTTAGGTATGATCAATAAAGCTCTAAGCGTTGAGAATAGCATGCAACATGGCTGCTGTCATACCTACTGAATATTATTGTTATTTTTGTTTTGAGAAAGGGGACTGAAAAGTGTGTGGCAAAGTACGTTTAACTGACAGATTCAGAATTATTCAAAAGGAAGTTTAGAATATATCATATGACAGTTTTAAACATACATCCATGCCTTCAAAAAAGTTTAATAAAAGGCATTTTCATGGCACACTTTCCTTTGTACAATAATTCTCCCCTTTGTTTTTAGGCAAAGAGGGTTCATTCTTCTTCCAGTTTCCAGAGAAACTTAAAAAAATTGTTATGAAATTTCAAAATGCCATATACTTCACTGGGTGAACAGCAATAAAAAAGTCAAGCAAATATTTCAGTTATTCACTTTTATTGAATAATTAAACATTCCTGCTATCTAAACTGATAGGTATTAAAATCTTAAGCAATACTGAAAACAATGACCATTTACATAAATATACGGCACAAAATCACAATAAACATATGCTTAGTAATATTGAAAATTAAACTCTATGCAGCAAAAGTAAGCAAAATAGTTCATGTTCACCAAGCAACGCTTAATTTACTTGTAAATCTAAAAAAGAGAAAGTAGATATACAAATCAATACAAAAAGTCACACTGTTTGAAAGTATTAACCAAGAAACTTTTGTTCATACCAAAAACCTAGAAATATCCAAGTATCCAAAGCTGATTTTCTTGGTCATACTCACAAAAGCATTATGGTCATTAAGCCAAATATTTTTGCAAAAATGTTTTACCATGAAGTGAGTTCAGTCTACTATGTAAAATATGATAAATGAATGATAAAAAAATACAAACTCAAACCAACTACTGGTTATTCTTATTATTTCGTTCCAGCAAGTTTTCATGTAAGTTATATAAAAATATTTTGCATTTTACTTCCTGTAAAAAACTGAAATGCAAATAAATGTAAAAGTAAAGAAAAAACAATGAGTGACCATATTGTATACAGTGCATACTGGCTAAGAAAATTATTTACAATAATATAAAAAGGGTATCTCAAAATCTGAGTTGTTTACAATGTATTTATTGTGAAATATGAATCTTATACAAACAGTTGTTATCCCTTTAACTAACATCTTATATTTTGAATGAGAACAACAACTGGTAAATTTCTTTTTTTGGTGGAGAGAGACATTAAAAAATTTTACAATATACTTGGACATTGATAAGTAACAATACTTACAGTATTTTTATGTTTTATAAACAATGCAACTCTCTTCAAATAAGTTGAAAAAAAAAAACAGGAGTTATTTTTATGTCTCAAATGGTAGAAGCAGCCACACATCAAAATGTGAAAGTTGAAAAAATGCCCTTGGTTATCTCTGCAGCATTGGCTACAGGCAATCCAAGAGTTTAACACATGACTATCTATATTAAAATGAAATCTTACAAAGAAAAACTAAAAAAAACTGAATAAATAAGTAAATACATTTTTATCAATCAGTCACACCAACTAATGCAAAAAATACAACAGAAGTTTAATACGTACATTGAAACAATACTGTATTTACTTTCACTTTTTTTAAATGCCAGGGGCAGTTATAGCTTTATCCAACCCCAGGTATATATTAACAAATTAAGCACAATATATAGCCAATAAGTTTCATTAGTAGGACTTAGTAAACAAATGCGTAATTACCTCCGCCAAGGAGGTTATGTTTTCACCTCTGTTTGTTTGTCTTTCTGTCTGTTTGTCACCAACATAACTCAAAAAGTCATGGATGAATTTCAATGGAATTTTCAGGGTAGGTCAGAAATGGGTTAACTTAGAAGTGTTTAGGTTTTTGGTGGTGATCTAGATCATTAATAAATCAATAATAAAAAATAAAAAACTAAGTTATAAACTGATTTTGATGAAATTTTCAGGAACTGTCAGAAGTGGATCCGGATCAATAATCAATCAATAATCAAAAATCAAAAAACTAAATCATTATAGAATGAAAATTTTGGGGTGAAACGGCATTGGGTGGAGACTTTGCTGCCTTGGCGGAGGTCTGCGCACTCGGAGTGCTTTTCTAGTTTATGTCTAAAATTACACCTGGAGATTCAACCGTTATTGAGAGAGATGTTTTTGTTAGTTAGCAAAGTTGTCCATGATGTTAAAATTTTTGATCTTTCAAAAAATCTAAAACAATGAGCTAAATTTAAAGCGCCAGTCCAGTCTTGGTGTGAACCATAACTAAGAATCAACTTAAACCTGTTGTGTGGCAGTGGGTTGGGTAGCTCCAGGCTGCGGAGGGGGTGGCTGACCTCCAGGGGAAATATACCCAGTAGTGGTCATCACAGGCTGACCATACTGGATAGTGATTGCCTGTTGACCATAGGGGGATGTAGTGTACATCACCTGCCCCTGTTGCTGTTTGGGGGCACAACAGGTGCCACGGCAGGTAAACGCGGAGGAAATAATTGCCACAATTCCTTCAAGAACTGAAATGATGATCAACAGGCTATTCACAATATGCCTCCCAGACACAATTGACCGGCACATTTGGTATACCTCATTCGAATACTCATAAGGATAGCTATAATAATAACCATGATTCCTAAGGCAATTGCTATACTCCCCACCGACGCCAATGCTCGCAAAGGAAAGTAGCACTATGCAGGCCAGGGATGACAGGATGGACAACACCATGTGACTGACCAGCAAACCTGTTGTCTTTTTCTTGGCTGCCCCAACCCCCAGTCCGCCAGCGATGATGTAGAAAATTCCACACCAAATCCCAGTGCCTAGGGAAGCCAGATATGCACCAATGGCAATGCCTACAATCCCTAGGATGAATGCCAAAATGCCACAGGCGATCTAAAATTTGAAAGTGAAAAAAATTATTTATTTTAGATCCCAATATCTAGCTGTTATTAAAAAGATTTCCTTCTCATGAAAAAACAAACAAAAAAAAATCATTTAAACCGATATACATGAATATACAATATAGACAACAATTCAATTTAGTATCTTTTATAGTGTGGGAAAAGAGTAGAAAATCCTTGTAGTTTTTATATTTTGTGCCCACAACATTTAAAATGATACAAGTGTTTCATTCCATCTTACATAAAAAACTGCAGTATAAATATTACTGCATAAAAAGTTGTCAATCAAGACCCATTAAGTCTATGGGACCATTCCCAGACTCTATCGTGCTAATTGTGGTTCGATCTATCTCCAAGGGGATTCTAGTTAAATTGCAATCAACTTAAGCAGCTTAAATGTCTGTCACACCTACTAAAGAATATTGTAACCCTTTATTATCATCCAAATACCGAAAATGAGTTTTTTCTTGTATCTAACTATTCAATAATGCACCTATCTTTGTGCCGATTTTAAATAATGAAAAAACCCTTGGAAATATAGAATATAGAATATTGGCATTGATTATATTTTTTGTTGCAATGTATAACCATTGGTATCTCAAAGCTTTAATCCTCAATTTAACACCTTTTTATTTTCTGGTGAGCAATCGGTATGAGACGAAACTTCATCCCTGAACAAGATTTTTCTTGAAAATTGGCATAGTGGACCGCAATTGTATGAGCTACAATCCCTTGCCAGAGTTTTGGTTTAAATGCTTTTGTCTTGGAGTAATGAGCCTTTAAATAAAGATTTTGATTGAACAAAGGCATTATTTTGCCTGACATCTAAGCGGCTTTAGCTAAAATTGATTTAGTGAGAAACCCCTTGGAGATGGATTGATCCTGTTAGATCGATCTAGGTATGGGAACCCAGTCTATCAAACACCTCAAGAAGTATGTCATACCTGAATGGCTGCACACCTCAAGGCAGAATCATGGGGCCAACCAGGTCTGGTCCCGGGGGGGACTGGCTTTGGCTGCTGCTGGTTCATAATAATCACCTGGCCCTGGGGTGGGGGCATATACTGCCCCTGGGGTACGGGCATGTATTGGCCCTGGGGTTGGGGCATGTATTGACCCTGGGGTGGGGGCATGTATTGACCCTGGGGTGGGGGCATATATTGACCCTGGGGTGGGGGCACGTATTGACCTTGGGATGGTCCGTATTGACCTTGGGGAGGTCCATATTGGGGATTGTATGGGGCAGGTTGTGTTGGATATGGCTTTTGTTGCCCGCCCTGCAAAGAAAATGATGTCCATTACAAATCGATAACCATACACATGCACAAACACAAACACTGACTTATGCCTCAAATGCACTAAACTAGTGTCAGGTTGGCATAATCTACAGATGATCTTGGGTTTTTGAAAATTATCTGAGAAATTTATTGTGGAACCAACACCTACAGGCATGGGGTTACTTTCAAAACTGGATGAAAATCACAAAACATTAAACAAGGCAGCAAAGCTGTCAAATGTANACAACTGTTTACTATCCAATCAAGGTGACAGCCGAGCGTGAGTGAACCAATACAAACACATTTAAGATATGAATTGAATACTATACATATACTGGTACTGTTAGTACAAGGTGCAGCAGGATGCGGATATTTATACTAGCATCGAGAGTTTGATTCAAGCTTCAAATCAGCAGGAGAAGGAACCTAAATAACATCTAATACAAAAAGTGAAGTTACAAATAACCAAGGTTTGTGACTATTTAAATGTCACACTTGTGTGTCTTTTCTGGATTCGTTACACATCAGTTATGATTACCAGTATTTCAAATTTAATGAGATGATTGTTTAATCCTTTAAGTGTGTCAGTGATATGGACACTTGCATCAGTTTTCGGCTGTCCATGCTGTAGTAAGTACCTAGCATATAAGGCCAAAACTGAGGAAATACTGACACGCATTTTGTCGACATTTTAATATTATGTTTGCTACTGGTAATATGCTCCTGGCACTTATCGGCTAGGCAGGAAAATTAGGCAAATCCTGATCAGTAACTAAATGTAATATCAAGCTGGAGGTTTATAGAGTTACCTGGGCTTGCAATCTCTACTGGTGATGCCTTATTCGACCCGCTTTTTCCACAAACATTACATCACAAAACCCAACGTCTTTACTTGTTTACCACCACTTCCTGGCACTGACTTCCTGGTAGGTTCCTGCATCCGGCTGCTTACGCTGGAATATGAATTACTACGCGCAAAAATATCTTCCAAAATAGTCCCCGCACCGTCTCTGCATTCTGACATTTCCGACACTGAAAAGTGTTGATATTAGATGTGCTTGTTAATTTCTTTATCTTTTCGACTGGTTTCAAAACGAAAGTGTTAAGAATGCATCAAAAAGTCCTTAAGAATAAAATTGTTCACTAAAAGAAAAAACGGTGAAGCCTCTACCGCGAACTACTTTTTGAAATTATGTGCATATATATGTATACTTCCTAAAATATAAAAAAAAGGCAACAAAAATTTGCATATAGACATTTTTATTATTTTCTTGGCTTAATTTGCTTCCACACATTCATTAACATATGCTTTGCAAAACTAAAAAAAAAAAAAAAAAAGAATGGCGATTACAGGGGGTAGTTCACTTATACCAGTATGTACATTGTACATGTATATAATAAAACGTATCTAAATGATCCATATAAAAGTGGGAAGTGTTTCGAATCTTTCTAAGGCCTTAATTACAACTGAAAGGGATATTATAAGAAAAAGAAAATTCTAAAAAATTACATATATATGTATGCTGTCATACTTATTGAACATTACTTTTATTTTTTGTTTTGAGAAAGGGGACGGAAAAGTTTGTGACATTGCCAGCACAGTATATGTTTAACTGACAGATTCAGAATTTTCAAAAGGAAGGTTAGGATATACCAAATGACAGTTTTAAATATACATCCATGCCTTCAAAAACGTTTGATGAAAAGTATTTCCATGGCACATCTTACTTAATTTGTACAATAACTCTCCCCTTTGCATTTAACCCAAAGAGGATTCATTCTTCTTCCAGAGGAACTTATAAAAATTGTTATGAATTTTCAAAATGTCAAATACTGCACTGGGTGAACAGTAATAAAAACGTCAGAATAATATTTAAGTTTTTTTTTATTAAATAATAAAAATATTCCTATATAAACTGATATGTATTAAAACCCTAAGCAATACTGAAAATAATGACCATTTATAAAAAATATACAGCACAAAATCACAATAAAAATATGTAATATTAAAAGTTATTAAAAGTAATATTAAAAGTTAAACTCTATACTGCAAAATTAAAGAAAATAGTTCATGTTCACCAAGCTAAGGTTAATTTAATATTTGTAAATCTAAACAAGGCAGCAAAGCTGTCAAATGTACAGACAAAAAACAGAAAAAAAAGATGCAAAAGAGGTCATTTTGTCAATTTTGATGCAACAATAAATAATGCTTATAATAGCAGTCAGTCAACACTGATTTTTCATTATGCACAACAGGTAACATGGTCAATAACAGGAGCAGATCCAGAAATATTTTTGACAGTATTCTAAAGTATCTTTATTGATCCATCTTCCATTTTGATGGTCTTCCAAAAGAAAAAAATAGATACCCATCAATATAAAAAATCTAACTGTCTTCCAGGAGACCCAGAAGATGGTCTCAATCCACCCCTTCAATAAGATTATAGTTTCATGACCATGAGAGTTAAAATTCACATGATGAAAGTCCCAATATAAGAAAAATGATGACAGTGCATAAAATAATATTACTAGTGTTTAAAGACATGAATACCAATACAACTGCTTACGTGGAAATACAGAAATTGTGCAGAGCCTCAGGTGGATGGGAAAGTCACATCTTAAAAATGCCAGTGTTGGAGAAGAAATTAAAAAGAAAACAACAAAAATATAATCTAATGAAGCTGCTATTCAGTGCTTCCTTATTATGGACACTGTTATCTAGCAGAGAGCTTAACCTTTGGGAGTTTACAGGGAAATATCAANGGATTCATTCTTCTTCCAGAGGAACTTATAAAAATTGTTATGAATTTTCAAAATGTCAAATACTGCACTGGGTGAACAGTAATAAAAACGTCAGAATAATATTTAAGTTTTTTTTTTATTAAATAATAAAAATATTCCTATATAAACTCATATGTATTAAAACCCTAAGCAATACTGAAAATAATGACCATTTATAAAAAATATACAGCACAAAATCACAATAAAAATATGTAATATTAAAAGTTATTAAAAGTAATATTAAAAGTTAAACTCTATACTGCAAAATTAAAGAAAATAGTTCATGTTCACCAAGCTAAGGTTAATTTAATATTTGTAAATCTAAAAAAGAGAAAGTAGATACAGATCAACACAAAAAGTCACCCTGCTTGAAAGTATGAAACCAAGAAACATTTATCCATACCACAAATCTAGAAATATCCAAGTATCCAAAACTAATTTTCAGGATCATATTCACAAAAGCTTTCTGGTTTTTAAACCAAATAATTTTTTCTCTCTTTGTAAAAATGTTTTACTACGAAGTGAGTTCAGTCTACTATGTAAAATATCATCACTGTACATTACATTGAAAGAGTACAAACTCAAACTAACTACTGGTAATTCTAATTATGTTGTTCCAGTATATTTTCCTGTAAGTTATATAAAAATATTTTGCATTTTACTTCCTGTAAAAAACTCAAAATGCAAATAAATGTAAAAGTAAAGAAAAAACATTGAGTGACCATATTGTATACAGTGCATATTGGCTAAGAGAATAATTTACAATAATATAAAAAGGGTATCTCATAATCTGAATTGTTTACAGTGTATTTATTGTGAAATATGCATCTCATACAAACAGTTGTTATGCCTTTAACTCATATTTTGAATAAGAATGATAACAAATTTCCGTTTTGGTGGAGAGGGACATTAAGAAATTTTACAATATACTTTTAAATTGATAAATAACATTACTTAAAGCATGATTTTTTTGTGTTTTACAAACAATGTAAGTCTCTTCAAATAGGTTAAAAAAAACATTGACACTTCACATTTTGTGGCACTTTGCATAATCTCTGCACTGTATCCAAGGGGCCGTAACAATAGTCCGAAGGTTCATTAGTCTGAATGTTTGCTATAGAACCTTCGGACCAATGAACCCTTGATTAAAAAAACTGATGCAAAAGTTACCATTTTTTTCGGACAAATGAACCTTCAGACTATCGAGATGCCCCCGTGTCCAAGACCCTGTTTAACAGAAAAATCTTGAAATTTGGGCTTAGCTAAGACTGCCAAACTTGGATAACTTACTGAAGGAATAAACTTGCTAAAGCCAACTAATATATCATGAATGATTAGACAGCTAAAACATGCTGTTTTGATACTGGGCTATGTCATCACTTGCCTGTCAGAATTGTGCGTACCTAGTGGTACACTACCCTGAACTTGGGACCGGAGTCACCTGACCCTTATTTTCTAATCTATCTTACAATTCGACATCTATTACACTGTCAATGAGTTATGAGTTTTTATGTCTCAAAGTAGGAGGAGCTACACAGCAAAATGTGAAAATTGAAAAAATGCTCTTGGTTATCTAGGCAGCATTGGCTACAGGCAATCAAAGAGTTTAACTGATGACTATCCATATTAAAATGAAATCTTACAAAGAAATTTTTTTAAAAATTGAATAAATAAGTAAATAAATTTTAATCAATCAGTCAAACCAACTAATGCAAAAAAATACAACAGAAGTTTAATACGTACACTGAAACAATACTGTATTTACTTTCAGTTTTTTAAAATGCCAGGGGCAGTTATAGCTTTATCTGACCCCAGGTACATAACAAATTTTTTAATTTATTAAAATAACCAATAAGTTTCATTAGTAGTACTTGGTAAACAAATGCGATTAATGTCTAAAATTGACCTAGAGATTCAGCAGTTATTGAGAGATATGTTTTTCGTTATTTTGCAAACTTGTCCATGATGTTAAAATTTTTTATCTTTCAAATAATCTACAAATACATCTGGGGATTCAACCATTACTGAGAGAAGTTTTTTGTAATTTTGTACACTTGTAAATGATGTTAAAAGTTTTTATATTTCAAAAAATCTAAAACAATGAGAAAAATTTTGAAGAACCAGTCCAGTCTTGGTGTGAACCACAACTAAGAGTCAACTTAAACCTGTTGTGGGGTAGTGGGGTTGGTAGCTACAGGCTGGAGAGGGGGTGGCTGACCTCCAGGGGTAATATACCCAGTAGTGGTCATCACAGGCTGACCATACTGGATAGTGATTGCCTGTTGACCATAGGGGGATGTAGTGTACATCACCTGCCCCTGTTGCTGTTTGGGGGCACAACAGGTGCCACGGCAGGTTAATGCGGAGGAAATAAGGGCCACAACTGCTTCGAGAAATGCAATGATGAGCAACAGGCTATGCTCAGCATACTTCCCAGACACAATTGATTTGCACATGTTGTATATCTCAACTGAATACCCATCGGTATGGCTATAGCTCTCATAATAACCACTATCTTTAAGGCAAAAGTTTATCTCCTCATAGAGGCCAATACTCGCAAAGGAAAGTAACACCGTGGAGGTCAGGGTCGACAGGATGGACAACATCATGTGACTGACCAGCAAACATGTCGTCTTTTTCTTGGCTGCCCCAACCCCCACTCCGCCAGCAATGATGAAGGAAACTCCACACCAAATCCCAGTGCCTAGGAAAGCAAGATGTGCACCAATGGCAATCCCTACAATCCCTAGTATGACTGCCAAAATGCCACAGGTGATCTAAAATTTGAAAGTGAAAATATCTATTTATTTTAGATCCCAATATCTAACAGTTATTATACAGAAAAGATTCTCTTCTCATGAAAAAACAAAAATTCTATCATTTATACAGACATACATATATACATACATACAATATAGATAACATTACAATTTGGAATAGATAGTGTGGGATAGAGACAGTAGAAAATCCTTGTACTAAGTAGTTTTTATAACATTCAAAATACGACATACAACATTCAAAATGATACATAAAAGTGTCCTATCCCATATAAGATAAAATTCTGTAGTATAAATATTACTGCATAAAACTTTCAATTAAGTCCCCTTACTGTAAGTCTATCATACACATTGTTATACCTGAATGGCAGCACACCTCAAGGCAGAATCATGGGCCCAACCTGGTCTGATCCCAGGGAGGACAGGCTTCAGCTGTTGCTGCTGGTTCATAATAACCACCTGGCCCTGGGGTGGGGGCATATACTGCCCCTGGGGTACAGCCAAGTATTGACCCTGGGGTGGGGGCATGTATTGACCCTGGGGTGGGAGTATGTATTGACCCTGGGGTGGTCCGTATTGACCTTGGGGAGGTCCATATTGGGGATTGTATGGGGCAGGTTGTGTTGGATATGGCTTTTGTTGCCCACCCTGCAAAGAAAATGAAGTCCTTCACAAACACAAGCATGAACACAGACTTATGCCTAAAATGTACTAATCTGGTTTCAGGTAAGCATAATCTACACATGATCCTGGGTTTAAAAAAAAAAAAAAATTGATAATTTACTGTGGGACCAACACCTACAGGCCTGGGGTTTACTTTCAAAAATGGATGAAAAGTCATGGAATACCACGATTCCAAGGAAAACCTCATGCCTGGCAATCATAGTGTTATCCTTTTTTAAAATTATGGATGTATGCATTTACTTGTTTCATATTAATAATGGAATACCTTTTCCTCGAGTCTTCCACTAGCTAAAAGTACCAATCAAAAAGTACTACAAAACACATGCAGAACAAATTAAAAATCCAAGTTTCCTACCTTAATGCGATTTTCAAATAACTACTCATGTGTGTCACTACTAGTACACAAAAAAAAAAAAAAAAAAAAAAAAACTTTGGATTCAGTGTATAAATTTTTTAAGGAAGAAAGAAAACATAGATACTGTTAAATTGATATTTTACCTCAGATTCAGTGTATGAAGGTGGTTGATCACTCATGGTTGATGATTGAATGTTTGGTAAGTTTTCCTAATTGTAGTGGACCTTTCACCTGAAACATACCAAAAACACTATAATATATCAAGATTTATAATGTTCAAAGCAGTTTTTTTGAAGTACTTGTTTCTCAAACAATTTTTATTTTCAGCCAAGGATGGAGAAACTCAAAGCTTTATGTGACATTATTTACAAATAGTGTGTGTACTACTATATCCAGTATAGTAGCACCAATGCACGCTAGTGCTTGAAAATTTCATTCATCCGAGACAGCTGGGATAAAAAGACTAAAACTTGGATAAAAAGACTAACTCATTGTCAAATTGGTGAGTGAACCAATACAAAAACACTTGTGAAATAAATACTAAACATCTTATACATAGCGCAGCAGCATATAGACAGTATGGCCAGAATGAGGATATAAAAACGTCCTTAAAGTCATGTCCATCATTTTACCAAAACCGAACCATAACAAAATATATCGGAACGCAGTATGAAAATTAAAATTAAATGACCCGGAACATACGTTACTATTTAGGGCTCTTTGCGTAATGTAAAAGAAAGGATAAAATTAGAATTTGAATTTAAATTGAGACAGTCGTTGATTTTTGTCCTATACACATATATTTTTTTCAAAAACTGGATACAACTTTGAATTCATTCAATTTTATTTTTTGACACTTCAGCATCTGAAATGCATTTTTATATTGGGTTTGGGTGTAATATGCTCTAGGCACTTAACGGCTAGGCAGAAAAAAATTACGCAAATCCGGACCAGTTACTTAATTTAATATCAAATAAGCTGGAGCCTGGAGGTTTGTAGAGTTACCTGGGAGGACGCTTGTGGACGGTAATTAGTGGTTGTGCACGGTAGAGGACGGTAGTGGTCGGTTGTGCACGGTAATTAGGTACATCGACTGGGGATACCTTATTCGACCCGCATTTTACAAAACATTACATGATTAAGTCCAACGTCTTTACTGGTTTACCGCCACTTCCTGGTAGGTTCCTGCATCCAGCTGCTTACGCTGGAAAATGAATTACTACGCGCAAAAAATCTTCCAAAATAGTCCCCGCACCGTCTCCCATTCCAACAGTTCTGACACTGACAAGTAGTGATATTAGATGTGCTTGTAAATTTCTATATCGATTTAACAGGTTTCAAAATGAAAGTGTTAAGAACGCATTAGGTCGTTCGCGATTGGGCCGTAGCAATAAGCCCGAAGGTTCAATGGTCCGAATTTTCACTACACATAGAACCTTCAGACCAATGAACCCTTGATTAAAAAAACGATGAAAATATTATCATTTTTCGGACCACCGAACCTTAGGACTATCGAGACGCCCCCGTTCGTGATAGAGGCCACCCCGTTTTTCTTTTAGTGTAACGATTTTATTAAGGTCTTCTTGAAATTCTGTGCATATATAAACTGACTACTTAAAATATTCAAACAAATAAAACCTCAAATACAAAAACAGCAACAAAATTTGCATGTAGACGTTTTTATTATTCTCTGGGTTTAATTTTCTTCCACATACATTAAAATTTGCTTGGCACACCATAAAAAAGAATGACAATTAGTTCACCTATATGTACATTGTATATAATAAAACGCATCTGAATGATCCATATAAAAGTGGGAAGTGTTTCGAATCTTTCTAAGGCCTAATTACAACTGAAAAGGATAAAGAAAAAGAAAATTCTAAAAAATTACATATATATGCAGATGCATGTACTAATAGAAAGAGTAAATGTAAAAAAATATAAATTTTCTATAATGTCAATGGGTTGTTTCAACACAAAAGTGTTTTATACATACTGTTGATGGAAAGAAGAATATGTGCACATTTAATTTCACAAAACATAGGGCAATGCATCACTAAGCAATCTGGAATTTTGAGTGGCAATTTATTGTCAGCTCACAGAAGACAATAGTATATACTTAATATTTACATGAATATGCCATGTTTTACTATATCTTTTTACCTCACCTACAATTATTTCTTCTAGATGAAAACTTAAATGTAATTTGGGTAGGTGACCAGAATTATAATTAGCATACATGTAGATCACTCAATAAATAATAAAAAAACATTTCATTGATGCACATTAGTGCAGAATTTCTATTTGACTAAATGAGCAAAAATGTTCAATAGCTTGGTTGTTGGATCATAAGTAAAAATTATCAAACACAAGCTAAAAAAACTCATACGGTTAGCATTTTCCATCAGACTGATGAAGGCCTATGTCCAGGTTGGCCGTAAGCTAAGGGTATGAAGGTTTTTCAGCCTATGTTTCATAATTGCCATGTATGTTCTATTTGACTAGTTAAACATTCACCCTGTTAAAAGAACTCTATCAATGTGTGGTGGTGTTTCCCATTCATACATACTACATTGGTCCTTCCTAAGAAAAACTGTTACAGTGATTTTGGTATTGGCAAAAAGACAAGATTTTTTTTTTCAAAATAGTAAAGACAAATACTAATAACACGTAGCCAATATATGGATATTTTTGTGTTCCTAATCATAGTCTTTGTCCTTTGTTTTGTCACGTGGGCATCATCTCACATTCTCATTGGTCATGTTATCTCTATTATTATTATTATTATTATTATTATTATTATTGATCTTACAATTATTATAGTTATTGATAATTATATAGTCATACATTATACTTGAGTAGCTATGCTTCTTCTTCTTTATCACTGTGGTATCTTTTTACAGAAAACATGTATAATTTGTGTTCTTTCATTACAAATATACATCTATAAATATACACATCATTATCATCATCATCTTACACACACGCACGCACGCACACACACACACACACACTTCTTTAATTCTAAAACCCTGCATATTTACATACACTACATATGATTTAAGAAAAGCTCTAAAAAATAAAACAATATAAACCCTTCACAAAGATTACCACAGACTGGGCTGGAATTATGCATCATCACTTTTCACACCTGAGTTTACAGGGAAAAAGTCAAACGGAAGGTGTGCTATGTATACACACACTTTCACAGCATAAAAAAAAAACATTCAAACAGGTGTTCAGCACTTCAAACTTGGACAATAAACTAATGTCCAAAGCCAGCAGTTTCAGACTTCAACAAAACTAGTCTCCAAATAGTTGCTCTAATAACTGAAAAAGGTTCTGCTATAATTGTATATACAGTTAGTATTGTAACTTTTTGCTGGAAGTATTGATGTGACAAAGTCTTAATTACATACTGTACATTTATTACTGGCATACATTCAATACCTGAAAGCAAATATATAAATGGGATTGCATGTTCTTTTTACACTGAAAATGTTAGATTGATTTATCAAAGAGTTTAAGGTATTCTATTTAGGATTTTTGCACCAAATTAAATACAAAAATTAATTATAATTCAATTAAACTCCGGAGGGGGGGGGGGAATTCAACTTATTCTGGCACTCTCTTGGTAATGCGTGGTTGTGATCATGTTGGTAGTGGCGACGGAGTTTCCAGGGCGTATGTAGTGAACAGTGCCCCCGCCAGGGATCATCTGCACTTGATGTGTATTTGCGGTGTAGAAGACTTGACCCCCTACTGGAGAGGAGCCGCAGCAGGTGGTACGGCAACACAAAGCAGCAGAAATGATGGCCACAACAGACTCTACCAGAGAGATAATAATCAGGACAGCATGGATGAAGTTGTGACCCCCAAGCTGAGGCTGCTCGCACTCCTTCTTGACGGTCCAAATCCAGAAGTAAGAGTTGGTGCAGTGTTCATCTTCTTCCAATGCTGCTCCAATGCTATGAATGACCAGCAAGGGCAAGGAGATTAAACTGGAAAAGATGGAGAAGATCATGTGGGACACTATCATGGCTGTCTTCTTCTCTCTCCCTACTGCTATGCCTAGACTTCCAGCTATGGTGTAGAAAATGCCCGCTGTGATTCCCATGCCCACGACACCCAGAGCAGCATCAGAGGCACTTGCAGCAATGCCCAGGATTATGGACATTATTCCAGCAACCAACTGAAATATAAGACAAATGTTCCAGTTAGTAAATAAATAAGATACTTAAATCTATCTTTGCACAAGGTACCATAAATATAAAAGAAGTAGAACAGACAGACAGCTTGAGGAATATTTTTTGACATATATCTTTCGATTTTTATTTTCAGAATCCTGCCCTTATATCATATTCATGTACAGGGGTACTAACAATTATAAGCAATAAATAAACCCCTGCAGGCAAATAACCATATTACATACACACACATAAACTCACGCACCAATCAATGCACGCTAAACATGTTGAAAAGTTTAATCTTTGTAATGTACAAGCTCAGTTTTATTATTATTATTATTATTATTATTATTATTATTATTATTATTATTATTACCTGTAGAACAGCACACCTCTGAGCTGAGTCACTGGCCCAGCCTGCTCTTTCCCCTGGTCTCACTGGTGGTGGCTGCCGTGGTTGAGGCTGTTGAATGATCACAACAGGTTGGGTAGGCAAGGCTGGTGTTATCACCTGTTGGCCTTGCATGTAGTAGCCTGTCTGCTGACCACATGGCTGTCTGTAATACTGACCACCAAACTGACCCCCATACCCTGGCTGCGGTGGTGGTGGTGGCTGTGGTGGTGGTCCATGCACTGGTGCAAATGCAGGCGGCTGTGCAATAGGTGGGGGCTGATAATTGATAAGATTATATATCAGTTTGGGTACTGGTGCAATGTATATACATATGTTGGTACTTTTGGCTGAAAAGCTTAAACAAAACAGATACAGTGTATACAGTATATCTTCAACTTACCCATTGTAGTGAAAAAGAAACATGAACTAACTACAGACATACCGATAAGTCCAATTCTTTTTAAATATCTATACAGTGATTGTCTTCAAAGTGGTTTATTTTTTACCTGGGTATATCCCCCTGCTGAATATGCTGGCGGGTCGTCAGACGGACCAGCGGCAGATTTTTCAAATTCCATTTTTTTAACTTTAAATATTTGTGTCTGAAATATAGTAAAAATGCATTCGATGTATTTATTTGCATGACAAAAAAATTGGAAGCTAAATAAAAAACTAACAAATTGTGTAAATTCATATATGAGCACGCACGCAATCACTAACTCTCTCACGCACCAAGGAGCAGTAACTTTTTTGACGTTCTTGTAAAACTTTTATAGATCCTATATACAATGGTTTTGAAATATAAACTTGTAATCAATACTGAATTTTGTTAGATCTAGATTGGATTTTGTGGCATAATAAATCTAATTACGTCATTCACGTTAAATTTTTTCTCATTCTCAAGGTTAGGATAAGCTTAATAAATGTTGTTAATTTAGACTTCAGAAATTTAGCAGCAATACAGAACTTTATCTTTTGAAAAAAAAACTACAAATAAAAGTATAAACAACTGACAGCATGTAGTAAATTTGCGTTTTTTGATGTTGAAAATTACCTTCCTTCTCCTTATTCCGCCATATTGTTTATCTTCACAACAGCCTCTTTACTTCCTCAAAAGTAAATACTCCAAGTAAAATAATAACACACACACAATTATAATGATTCATAAGCGTTAATTACTTTTCAGATATGAATATGTATACAGTTTATTGCAAAATATATATGCTTTGGTCTTCTTATTGTTTCAACAAAATATGGATGAATACACATTATCTCGCACTACTTCCAGATTGCGTCACACATGGCAAAACTAGGGCCCTCTTTCGGTGAAATTCTGCACTAGCCTAGAAGACGAATGTGCTTTTCGAGAGAAATCGTTTTCTGTAATTTTGTGAGGTATCTTATTAAAATGTGTTTGTTACTGCTCATTCAATCCGTTTTGTCGTCTGCTTGAGCTTAACATCATGATAGGGCCTACTCAAAATGTGATTTTTCTTCTGACAGTCACATTTCCAGGTGTTTTCCATAATATTTATATTTTAAAAACGTACAGTGAGCGATGACTGTGTATGTTTAGAGTTTATACATTATCTTATGCTTTGATAAATCATAGAATAATGCCATTGGACTTAGCTGCAGGATAATAAGATAAAGATTAATCTCTGGCGTCATGAGACCCGTTTCAGACGGGACCTGACGTCATAAATAGACAATGACGTCACTGTGGTGACTCCCTTCATCCCGGTAACCGAGTGATGCGTTGATTTATAATTTCCAAAAGTTTTGTGACATTTTTTTTTCGTGCAATGGCTAACGTATTCACAAGAAAACATCGCTGGCCGCGTAATACAACTTTTAAGGATTTTCGAGGTCATTTCGAAGTGGAGAGGGAGGCTTTGCGAATTCTATCTCCAACGAGGCGTCAGAACCCTCATCCTATAGGGCTGAAGATACAGAGCCCATACAACAGGGAACATGCGGTAGTGGCATTTCATCTGCTTGAATACTGTTGAATAGGTGTATCAAAATTTTATTCTTTCTTTCTTTCTTTCTTTTTTTCTTTCTTTCTTTATTTATTTATTGATAAAGATAACACGAATTTCATAGAATTTTGCTTGCCTGTAAAAAATTAATCCAGCAATAGTGCGTATAGAGACGCGAGAAACGATTATAGGCCTTTACCGGGGGGTAACTTATTGCATGGTCTGAATCCATCTATTCATTGCCCCCCCCCCCTTTGTATGAGTGTGTGAGTGTGTGCGTGTGCAATTACCATATTATTACACTTATAACGATAACATGTAAACGATAACACCTTCAGATCTTTGATATTTGGAACCCCGACCCACATCGTATAAAAGTGCGACTACCGGAAATGGAGAAGCATACAGGTAAATATCTCGGATGGCTGACAACCTTCTTACATGTAGCTGACCAGAAGTTCATGCACAGCATGCACAGCTTACCAGAATCTGAGAAGATGATTCTTTACAACATTTTTGCCACTGAAACTTTTTTAATCTACTTTAATATTCTGGGGGAAGGGGCTGAAAAAAATATCAAGAGGGTGCTTGGATTTGTTCAGATTAAGATATAAACATAAGTAAATGAAAACAGTTTTGAGTAAAAGCTGTTCTTGTGAAATTAGAGGTTGGTAGGTTTACAGGGGCAGCTTTGTGGAGAACAGCATGACCCAAAAAAGTAGTCTTAATGTCACAAACAAAATATTTTTCGTAGGTTCTGATTCTATTTATATGTCGAAAGTGTTGAAATATAGTCTCTTCAAAACATCAAGAATGTATTACCAAGGGTGTTCTTCAAAAAAAAAAAAAAAAAAAAAAAAAGGCCAGAATTGGTCCTAAAAAGAATGTGCCCTGAAATGGATAACATGCATGAAATCACGTTTTGAAACATTTCCTTACAGCGCGAGTCAACTTCACTTCTGGGACAATCCTGCCTTCAGCAAAAAGCAAAGGTAAGATGGCACATATTATATAGTGTCAGTTTGGCAAGGTAGCTGGTAAACCTGTATAAAGATATGCAAATATAATGCCGACTTCAAATAAATAGATAAATAAATACCTTCATATTTTTGATTGGTGCGCGCATTATCATTTAACATAAACGAAAAATGAAATAGAAATTGGAAGTGTTTTTGTTGAATAATTAATTTTTCCATTTCAACAGCAACTTGCTGATCTGATATTTCCCGTAATTATTTTCCTGATAAAACTGGCACCAGAGAAATACACAAGGGCCTTTTTTCAAAACTATATGGCAATTTGCCTGTCTAGATATTTGTCACAGAACCTGAAACCCAAGAATTCTTATGACGCCAATAACGGTTGGTTTCAGGTCGTCCTCCTAATGTGCAGTTTACCATTAACTCAATCTCCCGCATTAGCTACCAGGATCCTGCCAATAACCCTCTGGAGGCCCAGTTCAGGCACATGAAACCGCCCATTACCAGGTTCGGCAAGACGCCAGCAAAGCCAGGGATCGGAATAGGTCCGTATGCTGCTTTTATTTTGGTTAACCTAAAATAAATTTTGATTAATTTGTTATAGTTTTACTTTTTTTGTCTTTGATTGCATGCTGCATTAGGAAGGTTTAGAAACAGGAAAGGAGTGACTCCAACTGTGCTGGGGACAAATGTATATTTCGTTTTATAACGGCTTGAAGAAACTGAGTTTTATTGCTTTAGTGTCTTTCTCATTTCAGTACCGACCGCTCTACCGCCTCTGTCCACACCTGTTGAACACAACGTATAGGACGACAATTTAAACATTATAAGACTATTTCTCATTAGACTGTATTCAACACCCCCCCCCC